TTAAAGCTTCATCAAGCTTAGTCCATTTTTGTTATAGATATATAAAAGCCAAACCTGTTCCTTCCCACAAATCTGCCTACAAATTCTGCTTTTTTTCTAAAATGTCCTCTCTAAGGAACATAATGGATTCCTGAAAAGATGACTACAGCACTTGGCCCCTCCTTAAGGGCTAGGCTATATTTTGAAATATCTATATTCTGAAGCTGGATTATGTGTTTTGCTTGAATTCATACTATAAGTGATGGATGAGACTGCCAGGGCAGCTGCCTAAATGGCTTACCATTTGGCAGGATACCTAGCCTGAATTTTACATAATTGAAGGCATTCAAAGCTCCTCCAAGGAAATAGGTTTTAGTGGGGCTGTCTTTAGCTTCAGAACTAATATACCATATAGTCTTAGCTTCCAGGCTGTGTGCTAGGTGAAAGAGGTTACAGCCCTTAAACAGGATCAGGAAATAGGTATGTCTAGATCAGGGATATTGCTTGAGACATGCAAGACTATATGATGCTCTGAGTTGGGCTGTGGTCTCTATCTCTCCCCCAACCACTCCCACTGTTTCTCTCTTTCTCTCTTCTCTCTCTATGTCTCCCCCTCCCCATATATGTATTCCTTTTCTTTTTTTTCCCCTGTGAGGGTAGAATGGGCTGGGAAAGGGTAAGGTACTAAAATGAGGATCCAGGATATAAAAGATGGAATGCAGTATAAATATAGTATAAACTATTTCATTTTGCCATGTCACATCAGCAAAATTTCAGGAACATGTGATACAACACACACACACACACACACACACACACACACACACACACACACACGCACCTGACCATGAGGCAGCGTTAATGTGTTTGGTCCACATGTTTTGTTATCAGGGCTGGAGGCCGAAACCATGGCTTTGTTGTTGTTGTGACTCAACTCCCTTGACTTTACCAGGTCTGTACATGTATGGAACTGGGTAATACGGCAGTGTCTTAGGCAGGACGCCATCAGAGGCTCTGCTTGTGGTCCACCACTGAGATTGCAGAGAGAGACAGGAGGGAACCAGGCAGTGGCTAGCTACATTTGTAAGCACTCGTGTTTAGGCAGAGCCTTTGAGCCTTTGTGCTTAAATGTATGGCCCAACTTGGTTTTGCTTTGTAAAGAAAATTTCCCTAGCAATGACATAGTATTACTGCAGAATTTCCAGTTGGTTAATGGTAGCATTTGTTTTCATATTCATGTCTTTCTTCTACTCTGTCTTACCCTGCGTCAGACCACCTTACATCTGACGCTTGAAAATGCTTAGCTCTTAGGCAACAGCTGTGATTTCAGATGCGAGAGAGCCACCTGCTGGTACTGGAGCCTCAATTCAGACCTTCAGAAACTTACCTTTCAGTTTCCAAGTATCCCAACCGGTCTTAATCACCAACACCAGAAAAACTGAGAGATTGTTCCTGAGGTTCCTGGTTCAAATGCCAACCCTGTTTAGATCCTCTTGGGAGGGGTGAAATTTCCCATCCTTTAAGTAAACTCCTCTGGGGATTTTTAGGTCCTAAATATTTGAGACTGAGTCTGTGAAAGACCAAACAAATTCTTATTATTTGGGAAAAGCAAAAACAAAGCAAAAAAAAAAAAAAAAAAAAAAAAAAAAAAAAAAAAAAAAGAGAGCAAGCAATTACTATACACATTGTTTATCAATTTATATATTTAGAAAAAGGTATCTTTGGCAAAAGTAGTTGATCTGAACTAAATTGGCAGGAAAACTGGTTCCTCTGCCCTCATCTTTCTTTTCATCCTCCTACCCCTCCTTCCCCATCTCCCCCTGTCTCACTCTTCACCATCCTCTTTTTATCCTCCTGTGATGTAGCTCAGACTGGTTTCCAGCCCAGTGTTCTGCCAACATTGGCCATGAACTCCTGATTTTCCTGCATCTACCTCTGGAGACTGGAATTACAGGTCTGTGGGACCACTTTCAGCTCTTCACCCCTCCTCCCACCTCACCTTGGATACCTCACTTATTCAGAGATTTTTAGTAATATTTCCCTTAGTGAGCACTCATCCCATAATTATAATCGGAGTGATCCCTGCCCATGTGCTATCACTTAACAAACTCAACCTTATGAAGGAATGTTTGACTTTGGATTTGGTGTTGGAAATAGCAGGAGGCTACATTTTTTTTTTGTGTGTGAAAAGGCTTGAATGCTTCCTGGCCTTCTGATGACTTTAATTTCATCTGATATAGGTCTGCTTAACTGCCATCCCAACAGTAACTGAGTGCAGTCATTGTCTTGACCTTCTTCCCAGTCATCATTTAAAGAGCTATCTGGGTGGGCTGTCATTCCTTGGAACTTCAAAACTGAAAGTGAAAATAAACACCCCCCAACCTAGTATAAAGAAGTGAAATGTGCTCTAAAAGACAGAGCTAGGAAATATGGGCTATATACTGCATCACAGGAGGTATGAGTCCCTGTGACTGGAAGCATAGCAAGAAGACACTGAGGTGTTGTTGCTGAAGCACTCAGTGGGTGTCTTAGGTAGGGTTTCTATTGCTGCAATGAAACACCATGACCAAAAAGCAAGTAGGGAGGAGAGGGTTTAATTCAGCTTACACTTCCCAGATTTCTGTTTATCACCAAAGGAAATTAGGACAGGAACTTGGGGCCGGAACCTGGAGGCAGGAGCTCATACAGAGGCCATAGAGGGCTGCTGCTTACTGTCTTGTTCTCCATGGCTTGCTCAGTTCCAGGACCACCCAGCCCAGTGATGGCACCATCCACAATGGGCTGGCCCCTAGCCCATTAATCACTAATTAAGAAAATGTCCTACAGCTGGATCTTGTGGAGGCATTTTCTCAAGTGAGGTTCCTGCCTTTCCTTTCAAATGATTCTAGCTTGTGTCAAGTTGACATAAGGCTAGCCAGCACCATGGAAAGCCGAGCCACAGAACATTAGCGTCTCTCCAGCCATATTCTGTAGATGGCCTTCAGCTTTACACTGATGTATTTGCCTTCCGTCCTCTCCTCTTGCTTCTCTTTCCTCACTTCTGCTGGGCCTCATCTTCTGGAATGGGGATTTCTAGGACTGATCCATACATGCATGGTGCGTCTGGCAGTGTAAAACCATGCTATTACCACCACAGGCTTGAGATTGTGATTTTACAAATCACTTTCTAATAGTCTCTATGTTGTTCTCCCAAGTTAGCCTCTGGGTACAACTTAATTTTTCTTTTGAACGTCCTCTTTGTTCTTTGTTTGATCATGAGGAAGTTTACCTTCAGTATCCAGTCAGTCCCATCAGCAAATGAGAACATCAAAGTCAGATCAGCTTATATAATGGAGGCAGAGAACAAGAGATCTCTGACCCAGGTTTGCCATCCCCCACGCCACCCACACTCTTCTGTAGCCTGGGGCCTTTGTCTTTCAAGTTTAAGACCACTCTGTCTTGCCTGGCTAGACTGGTGGTTTCTAGCTGTTTATTTGAGATCTTAGTGATCCTTGCTTATGTTTTTTTTTTTTATCCTGTCAATACTTGCTTGATACTACTGATCTATGTTACACTATAATTGAAGATATGTACGCATATTTCAATATATATATATATATTACATATACATAGTATATATATAATATATATTCAGTATATGTACAAACATGAATGAATGTAGTATATGATTCAATTGGTCAATCTAAGTCCTTGGCCAATCCAGTCCAAGGCTTCTCCTAGCCTCAATAATCTGCCACCAGAAGAGAATTTAGAAAAATGTTGATTGGAAATGTAAACGTTGATCTATGGTATGCTGTGAGTCAAAAATAGCCACGCTCATCTTGAGTGAGATATTTCTGCATTTTGCTAATTATTTATTCCACCTGGCACTTGTTCCTTCTAGTCCATCATTCTTTATCATTCACTCTCATAGCAGTCTACAGAAGACTAACTTGCCAGGTCTCACCCCTAAGCTTGGGAGACCGAAGAATGCAAAGGCAGCTGTCCTCAGAACCGAGTGGTGGAGTCAGTCCAGGAGTTCATAGCCTGATCTTGCTAAACCAGGGTGACATTGCAACCTGAGTTTCTTTCCATGTGTATGTCTGGGGTGGGGGTATGCCACAGTGTGTTTGTGGAGGTCAAAGGACAGCTTGTTAGAGTCAGTTCTCTCGTTCCACCATGTGGTTTCTGGGAATTGAACTCGTGTGATCAGGCTTGGTGGTAATGAGCCATCTTTCTGGGCTGGCATTTCAAAGTTTGATTTAAATGTTATGCTGAGAGGTGGCTTGGTGGTTAAAAAAACTTGCTGCTTCTTAGAGGACTGGAGTTCAGTTCCCTGATCCCACAGGGGGGCAGCTCACAATTGCCTGTAAATCCAGTTCCAGGATATTTTTACCTAACACCTTCTTCTGGTTCTTATCATCACATACACACAGGGACATAGATACAAATAAATAAAATAAATATTTAAAAAAAGTAAGTCAATAAATCATATACCAAGGTAAAAACAGCAAACAAAATCTTCATCTCAGTAGGCTATTGAGTAGATGGGGGTTAAGAGTTTAGTGACTGTTTCCTGACTATTTCTTTATTTAAGACTGGACGTCAGGTATCCCAGGCTGGCCTCAGGATGACTTTCCAGTTCCCATTATCGTGCTTCCAGTTTCTAAGTGCTGGGATTAAAGCTGCCCACCACCATTCCCAGCTTATGAGGTGCTGGAGACTAAACCCAGGGCTTCACTACACAAGCACTTTGTCAAAAGAGCCACATTCCCAGCCCCTGCAGCTTAAGTATTTATTGAGTAAACGACTAGTGGTCAAACCCTGTACACAAATGTAAAGGTGATGGAAAGAGGCCTTGTGGTGGTTTGAGTAAGAATGGCCCCCAGAGGTTCATATATTTGAATCTTAGTCACCAGGGAGTGGCACTGCTTGAGGATTAGGAGGTATGGTCTTGGAGGAAGTGTGTTACGGCAGATGGGCTTTAAGGTTTCAAAAGCCCAAGCCAGGCTCAGCTTCTCCCTCTGCCTGCTGCCGGTGGATCAGGATGTAGGTCTTGGCTCCTTCTCCAGCAGTGCTGCCATGCTCCCTGCCTAATGAGATCGGACTTTCCTCTGAAACTGTAAGCAAGCCCCAATTAGTCCCTTTTCACAGCAACAGAGCACTGACTAAGAAGGTCTCCAGGAGGAGGCGAACAGAAAATGACTGTCGAGGCTGCCGCCTCAGCTCCATGTGAGTATCACAGGCACTCTGAATGGCAGCTGCCTCCGCTGCCCTCTCTGTGTGTGGGAATCTTGCTGCAGGGCGCTGTAAACTATGTGCTGTTTCCATAGTTCCCACTAAGGAGGCAACAAAAAGCACCTCCTCAGGGTTTGGAGAAAGAAGGCAGGTCTCACTGGTGGGTGAGATCTGGGCAGACACAGCTTAGCGTCTTTTGATCTGAAATAGTTTAATAGGGGAGGGTAAGTCTGCCCTAGAGTTTTAGGAAAATCAAAGAACTTCGTTCATTTCCTTAAGAAAAAAAGAAAGAAAAATGATTGAAGTTTTAGTGGATCCCAGCCAGGACTTAGGGCAGAACAAGACTCAGAAATGAAATGAAATGAAGTCAACTTGTCAGATAAAGCCTCCTTCATTTCCTTCTGAACTTTCTCATGAAGCCATGCTCGGAGAAAAAGGGAAAGTTCTCTTGGAAAGCTCAGCCCTGAGAAACCGACTTTTGTTTTGGACTTGTGATGTTGGTGTTGGAAAAATAGACTGTGAATCAACAAGCCTCTTTTCTTAGGGGCTTGCCCAGGCACCTTTTATTTACATTTGCTATTAGGCCTTGGGAGCTAGAGACAGGGGGATTACACATTTGTGGCTATCCTAGGTAGCATGTTGACAGCCCTATCTTAGGATGAAACCAAACCAAACCAAATTTGTATTTGGAAATAATTGAAATGTGAAAACTGTATAATAAATCAAGGCAGTCTTTTCCTATTCCTAGGTTAAACTGTTTTAAATAATTTACCTCCCCCCACTATCATTTTCTCCTTTTCTCCTGCTGTGGACATGTATGTTTGTATATGTGCACACAGACACATGCAAACACACCCATGTGATGATTGTGTGTATGCATATATGCCTTTAATGTTCAATGTTTCGATATGTATTTCATAAAATTTAATGTCCTCTTAGCATAGCAACAGCTGAGTTGGCAGTACAAGTCTTCAGCCCACGTTGTGTTGTTCTCAGCTTCTTTCATCATTCGCCCTTATAGTATCTCCCCTTTTAGTAGACAATCTGGCTGGAGTCAGGTATTGTAGTTATCATTTCTCTTTAGTTTTTTTTTGCTTGTTTGTTTGCTCTAAAATATTTTTTAGAGCCTTTCTTTGTCTTTTAGGCAGTGACATTTTTGAAAAAATATAATCTCCCTCTGTTCTGGTTTGAATAATAAATGCCTTCCACAGGCTCTTCTATCAAAGCTCAGGTCTCCAGCTAGTAGTCCTGTTGTAGGATGCTCTAAAACCTTCAGGCAGTAAGGACTAGCTGGAGGAGGTGGATGCCTTCACAACTCCTATTCTTTCTGTCTGCCATGAGATGAATAGAGCCTCAGCCAACTGTTCCCACTGCTACGAAGTTCTGCCTCATGTGGCCCAGGCTCACTGGAGCCGAGGACTATGCTTGAAGACTGGAACCCATGAGCTAAGTAAGCCGTTACTCTTTTAATTCATTTCTATCAGATATCTGGTCGTTGCAAAGACAGACTGGAAGTACCTCTTCCCTTTATTTTATTTGTTTTTCAAGACAGCTGTGTAGCTTTGGAGCCTATCCTGGCACTTACTCTATAGACCAGGCTGGCCTCAAACTCACAGAGATCTGCCTGCCTCTGCCTCCTGAGTGCTGGGATTCAAGACATGTGCCACCAATGCCTGGCCCAAGTGTCCAATGTTATCTGTGACTGGAGTTAGTGTTTTCCTTCTCTGTCCTTACACTGCATGGGGATGTGTGCCACCCAGGCAGACGGAGGGGAATAGTGTCCTTGTGTGGAAACATTATTGTGGTCAGGTAGTTGTTTGATACCTCCACGGCTGACACTAAAGAGCATCACAGGAAGACAGAAACCATAAAAATATCCTATTCTTCACCCAGACTTCCTCCGTGGCTTAGCACCCATGAATGATTCTAGAATAATTCAGTTATTATGATGACCACAAAATGAGAACCTTGGAATTCAAGGACCGCTCCCCCCCCCAATTTCCCAGTCTACTTTGAGTACTCTATTGTAGGACTCCACCTGCTTATCTGCCTATATGTCTGTTGCCTGTTATTGGCAACGATTTGTGTGACAGGTCTCAGAAGAACCAGTCCTTTCTGAGGGACCAAGCACTATCACTTGTCACTGTTTTTCAGAATCCAGAGCCTTGAGCCTCTAGGTCTGTTAATTTAGTCCGTAAGCCATGACAACTCAGTAGCCTGAGTGACTACCACACCTGAGGAAGTTGTCCTTTGCCCATACACAATTTTCATTGAAATTGTGCAAAAGACCCTAACCAACTGACTGGCAAGAGACTTATGAATCCTTGTTTTACTCAGTATTTTTTTATCATTATTATTCTTAATTATGCTGGTGTTCAAATTACCTTAACACCAGCTGATGGAGTCCCTTCAGGCTGCTGCCTTCATGCTTTTGATAGACTCCAGCATTTTTGAACTATGTTACTGTCTGTTATCATTCCAAATAGACATTCTAGGTCTACTTATACCAATTTCTATGAGAAATTCTAGGTCTTTTAAGCAAAAAACTATATTAGAGGCTAGTGATGTGGTTTATCAGAAAAAGGTGCTTGTCACTAAGTCCGATGACCTGTTTGATCTCTGGATCTCTGGGACTCACATGGATTTGGAGAGGACAGATTCCCAGAGGCTGTTCTCTGACCATCACATGCACAGCAGCTCTCATAAGGCTATAAACACACACACACACACACACACACACACACACACACACACACGAGATTTGACTAAGATTAACAACAGCAGCATCATTAACAGGTGAACATTATGGGGCCTCCAGCTGTATTATCCATGAATATTTTCAACTGAACACATTCACATATGATGGTAAATACACACACCCATACACATACACATTATGGAGGAAGTAATGAGTTCATACTGACTCTAGGATGAACCCATTCCTGTATCTACAGAGGTTTGCTTTTTTATATACCTGTCCTTATTTCACAATTATCAGTTTCTTCTCCCAGTGTGAGAATGTGGACTTTCCACAATAATATATTCATATATTCACTCAGTTCTATTATACATACAAAGTAGTTTAGAAATTGCTTTGCTCATATAACCAAACAAAAATAAACCCTATTACAAATGATTCTAGATTTGTTTACATTTTTCCCATTTGTCTCTCACCTCCACTCTACATCAAAATGAGACTATGTAATTTAGTATAGTCTGCTAAGTTCTTCGATTAGTTCTTTTTTCTTTCTTTTCATTGTGATTGGGGTATTTATCTGAAATACAAGTAAATTAGTCTGTCTCAGTTTTCATTAAGTTTTCTTGCTTGCTTTCCTTGTTCTGTATTTAATTGTATTATTTGAATAGGTCAGATAATAACATTTCTTTCAAATAAAATTATGCAGAGAAGTATAAACATTGCTTCCCATTTCATTCCATGTCTATCCTTAACCATTACAGATAACCAACCCCATGATTTGTTTTATTTTTTTTATTTCCTTCTGCTAACATATGTGTACATAAACAGCTTACCTCCTAATAAGCACACACTCAATTGGAATAAAGCAATTTCAAAATGCACTCATCACAGCTAACATACTAAACAGGCTGCCTTGCCATCACGACAGATTATAGAGTCTTCATTGTTATCCGGGACTGCAGTTCACTGGGCATGGCACCTAACTGGAGCAGACCAGTGTCATCAGAGAACAGCACACTGAGTATTACTAGTCTAGGATCAAAGTCTGAAATAAGTTCCAAATGAATATATATTACCTCCCCCCCATGATGAAATTAAAAAATTACCATTGTATGCTGGCGGCCATGTCAGAAGAGCTGCAGGTGGCAATTGACTTGGAGATTGGCCCACTGGGAAACAAAGCACTGATGGGTGAATCTTCCATAGCAAGGTGCCAAGGGCTTCCACTCCAGAGTGTCTCTTGCTACTACTGTGTCTTTACATGTTTGCTGCTGCCATTTTTCTCTGGTAACCAAGATCTGGCATGGTGTGAATGCATGTGTGTGTGTGTGTGTGGGGGGGTTCTCCTTGTCTTTAATGAAGTCTGATTATCTCATGGAAATAATCCTGTGAATGATTACAATGAATGCATGTAACAAAAACATGTTTTTTCATATCACTTACATGATTAAACATTTTAGGTATTACAGGTGAAAAACAAGACTTCTCATAGATCAGGGGCCTTTCAGCCATAGCCATTTACATCAGCAGTAAATTTTATAATTACTGGGAAAACAGGTTATTAGTTTCACTTTTCATATTTTAGAGTCCTGTCCAATTATCTTAACTAACCATCCGATTCTTTGTTTTCTAGTTACATGAACTCAACTGTTTAAAAAAGCTTTGTTTTAGTTTTATGCTGCACCAAAACCAATGAACTCATTTCCTAATATCAGAAAGAACTTGAGCTAATTCTTGGGGTTTGATTGTTTTCTTAATCATTAACCTAATTTATAGTCCATATGGCTGCTCAAGAGAAACTTCTAAGTCCTAGTGTTATGCTCAAAGTCTGGATCCCCAAATTACACCTCGAGACCCATTCTGATGCAAAAGCAGAGAGTCTTTATTAAAACTTGACTCAGGTTGCTCTGCCCACCTGGAGCAACAGTAGCAAGAGCAGCAGAGCAGGAGAAACCCTGAGTGGCATGGGGAGGGGTTTTTTATAGAGGAGAAGGCTTGGGGAATTCCAAGACTTCAGATTTGTGATTGGCTGCCCCCTCCTATGGGAGGAGGGGAATTCCAAGTCTACAGGCTTGGGATTGGCTGTCCCTCTGGGCTAAGGTCCAGAAAAGGTTATGGTATGTCTTTAGACTTGGGGGTTACTACTTCCCTAGGCTTAAGGTCTGTGGGGAGTCCTGCCTCTAGATTGCTTCCCTATTCAGGGATTGATCCATTTTTCCTGCTCAGGGATTGGTTGGTTTTGTGTCAGGGGCAGAGGTGGCTCTGATTTCAGGGCCAAACTGTGTCTCTCTCTCTCTCTCTCTCTCTCTCTCTCTCTCTCTCTCTTTCATTTTGACTCCAATTTTAGGGCCGGGGCAAATTTCTTTAGCTGGTTCTGATTCTAGGACCAAAGTGTGTTCTTTTGGTTCTGGTTTTGGAGTCAGGTGTTTATCTCTGGCCCTGGGTTCAGGAATAAAGTGTTTCTTTTGCTAGCTGGGGTCCCAAATCCAGGGTGTGTTTCTTTCACTGACTCTGGGCTCAGGGCTGGGGTTTTCAGGGATTGTGCTAGGGCTATGGGTCACAGATCCGGAGTCTCTCACTTCCTTATTCTTCTATCCTCGGGAGCCTTGCTTTATCAGGGGTAAGGGGCAACACTTTAAACAGTACAGCTTAAAAGGAAATCATCTTCATACTAATCCACAAGTAAAAATGTCCAATAGAACAGGATATTTCCATGAGATAATCACACTGCATTAAAGACAGTGGGAATCCCCCTCCCACCACGAGTTCACACTGTGCCAGATACCAGAGAAAAATAGCAGCAGCAAACATGAACAGGCACAGCAGTAGCAAGAGACAGTCTGGAGTGGAAGCCCTTGGGGCCCTGCTGTGGGAGAGTCACCCATTAGTGCTTTGCTTCCTGGTGGGCCGATCTCCCGAACTTCAGCTGTCACTTGCTGCTCTTCTGATATGACCACCGGCAATTGTAAAGTTGAAAACTCACAAGCTGAACCATTACAAGTACAGATGCAACATGATATTAATACTTTCTCTTATTCTTCCTTCATTCTTACATAATGATAACACACAATACATGCTTTGTACTTTGCCTTTTTCAGTTAGTAAGGTCTCATGAGAGTATGCTCAAAAATCATTAGTCTCCCTGTTCCCCTTTCTTTCTCTCTTGTGACTCTTGGCTGAAGAGTGAGCAGTCTTGGAATATTGCATGCTCCTGCCATGATGTGTTACCACACCACAGGCCCAGAAGCGATGGGTTGAAAACTCTAGCATTGTGAGCCAAAACAAGCCATTTTCCTTTGCAAGTTTATTATTGTAGGTATTTGTCATACAAACAAGAAGCTGACAAGCACAACATTACTCCATTTTAAGTATTTATAATAGTTTATCCAACTAATTTTTCATGGTTTAGACATGCAGATGGTCTCCAGTACTTATTGAGTACAGCCAGTGATGCCAAGAATAAGCTGTGTCTATATGGTTTGTCAGCATGGAGAGCCTCAGGAGGGGTCCTCCTGAGGAATTGCCAAGCCAAGGGAGAAGAGGAAACACAGTTTTGTTGGATGCTGTCAAGTACCTCTCAGAAGCATCTATGCCATTTTGCATTATTTTCAGCAATACAGGAATGTGCCCACCTTCCCAACCTTGATAGCAATGATATTAGCTGCAGTTGTCAACTTGACATACCTAGAAAGAGGGAACCTCAGCTGAGGAATTACCTCCATCACATTGACTCAGAGGCAAGCCTATGTGGCATTTTCTTAATTGCTAAATTGATGTAGGTGAGACCAACCCACTCTGAGCAGTGCCGCTCTGGATAGGTGGTCCTGGGCTGTGTAAGACAATCACCTGAGCAAGTCACAGTAAGCAGCATTTCTCTCTGGTCTCTGTTCTTGCTCCTTGGTTCCCCTTTAATTTCTGTCTTAACTTCTCTCGGTGATTGACTCATGTGGAAGTGGAAGCCAAATAAGCCCTTTCCTGCCTAAGCTGCTTTTGGTCATGGTCTTTATCACAGTACCAGAAACCAAAACTTAGACACCATGTATAACTTCACATGCTTGTGTCTCTGGTGTTGTGGGAGGACAAGCAGACCTTAGGAGCTTGGTAGGAAGACTAGTCAAACACCAACTTCAGGTGAAAGTAGAAGACTATCTCAAAACGTAAGATGGGGAGTGGCAGAGCAAGGCACCCAACACTGTGCTCTGGCCTCCACATGCATATGCATGGGCATGCACACCTACACATGTGTGCATATACCACTCACAAACACACACACACACACACACACACACACACACACACACACGGAACACCACAAATAGTTAACAGTGATGAAAGGGTTCTGAGAGGCTGACTGGGGAGCAAGTGGTAGATTCTGTTGTTCCCATGTTAATTTTCCTGCAACTAATGTTAACACTCATCAGAGTTGCACATGAAAGATAGTAGGAATAACTTTCAGAAGTATTCTCGGCTCCTGAGGTGGTATTCTCTACTTGTTGGCAATGCCTTCCTGATGCAGCATGCAGCCTTGTTAGCAGTCACAGTATCTGGGAAGAAGCTGCTTTGCGGGAGCTGGAGCAGAACCCACTTTCTCGCCCTGTGTTTCTAGCGGAGCATCAGCCCAGTTCTGCTGGCTAATGGCTTGTCTCCTGAGATGGTAACTCTCAATTGCCAGTGCAGCTGCTCCTGCCGGAGGACTCTCATTGTGTCGTTCTGGCACAGTGGTGACTGCCACTGTCAAATGCTTAGTCACACAGTTTTCAGCCCTGCCTAGGGGATAGTCTGTTTCTGCAGAGTCAGCCTTCAGGTTCAAGGTAAAGCTGCCTCCAAGACCTTCCACTGCTTGGAACCTCTGAGAAACAACCTTTCATTGCCCATGAGCTTGGTAAACTTCTCTAGACTTTCTGTTCAGCTTCTGATTTTACTTTTTTTTTTTTTATTACCTACTCATTTCCCTTTTCTTTCTAGGCCAATCCATCCTTGGGGATCAATTGGTTCTGTATTTGTTCTGTTTTGTTTCCTGGGACAATTTTTTAAATGTATTGTTTAGACAGTTAAAAAATCACTAATAATCTAAACCTATATGAAACAGGTTGTCTCTGTAGTAAGAATAAAAAAGGGGTATGAAAGCAATCAAGTAACACCATTTTGGTGTTACTTTCCAGATGTGATGTCCTTGGGCACATCAATCTCATGGATCTTTTCCCTCTTTATTCGTAAAATGACCTTTACTGTCCATCCTCATCAAAGATCCTATGATTTTAAAGACTTAGAAAACAAAGTGAATTTTTTAAGGCCAGCCATATCTTCTTCACATAAAAATTAGGCTGAATCTGAGAAAGAGTTCTTTTATAATTGGGCCTATTCTTTGTCCCAAAACTCAGACATTTGCTGATAATAATGTTATATGGCAATCATAAAATTTCTATAATATGCATATACTTAGTTTATATGCCCCGTGAGGTCATAGGTTAGACAGTTGGCTGGTCTAGCTAGAGCTTGGCTTAATTGATTTTGATCTGCACCATGAGCTTCTCATGTTGTTCTTGATATTATCAAGCTATCTTATAAATGTCTCACAGCAATCCAAAAAACAAGAGTATAATTCCAACATACATTCAGCTTTCTCACCTTGAGTTGGTCATGCCATGATATTCCACTGATCAAAAAAAATCACATAGCCAAGATCATGGTCAAGGTGTGATAATGGTGCAAGGAGATGGGAGGATTGCTATGTCTGGATAACAATGTTATATAAGATAAGGTGATTCTACATGGGCTCCTCTTATTGAAAATGAAGACACTGGTGAAGACGTGTGTACACTACAGAGTTAAAACAGTGATACTTCTGTAGAACTTAACTGGATCAGACACACACACACACACACACACACACACACACACACACACACTTGGAGATAGGGTCTTCTTTATATAGCTCCTCAGACTAGCAGCAACCTCTTTGTGTAGTAAAAGCTGGCCTTGAACTCCTGATCTTTTACCTTCACCTTCTGAGTACTTAGATGACAGGTATAGACTACCACTCCCTGCTCTGCTTCTGTTTCTAAGACAATGGAGATGCAGTTTGAGGCTGCCTCTATGGTTTTACTGACACACACTTCAAGGTGCATCCGATACTTTCATTTTGCTCAAACAAGGAGTGGCAAGCTCACGGCACTAACTAAGGTGCCTGAGACCCTCTATGTTGCAGGACCATGAAAAGTTCTTCTAAGTCACTGACTGAACAAGCAGATAAATGACTGCTTTTTCTAGTCAAATGACAGATGAATTTGCAAATGCTGCCCAGAACAAGACTAAATAAGACCAAACAAAGCACTTCAGAGGAGAACCACCATAAAACACCTGTCACAGAACTTAAAAGTTACGTAAGACTTATTTTGTACTGTAAAATCATCTCTCCCTTTACTAAAGCTACTTATGTATCTCCAAATCTGCCACTTTTTAATCTTGATACCTCTGATTGTATTCATGTCTCCAAATAAAGCAACAAACTAAATCCACAATAAAATGCAAATACTTTACTGGTGATTAAGTTGTTTAAATAAAAATAATTATTTCATGGACCAAGAGTTATGTATATGAGGCAAGTTTTTGTTACTTGAGAACCAACAAGGAACTGAGAATAATTAAAGCACAGTTTATTTTTCCATATGTTAAGCTGTATTAATTATCTGCTGCTATGTGGCAAATTACACTGAAATTTGTTGAGTACTTCACTTCCATACTGGTTTATACAAGCCAGCTTTGGTCAGTGTTGAAGGAGATACAAGGTGTCCAACTTTTTGACATTGTGACATGACACTGTGATCTACAAGTGAGTGTGTTGGGTCACATTCATAGCTATCATGGGATAAATACAGCCTATGGGTCACAAGTTGATCATGCCTGCATGGGACAGGGCCGCCACAAGAGCCAAGTGTCTGACTGAGATTTTGATCTGTGAGCAGGGACTTGCACTGGTTCTGTAGTTCTTACTTTTGTCGGGGACCACGTGAATCAATGGAGAAAGCTGATGCAGGCACCTGACTCCTCAGAGACGAAGATTTAATGGATTTCCAGTGGTATTAGATAGTATTAGAAAACACAAACTTTGAAGTTGTTTTCATGTGCAGTTAGGGATAAGCACATTATGAGTGAACAAAATGGCTCCTCTGGGGACTAAAGTCCACTCTGTGTTTGCTGAGTTTGCATCTGTCAACAACATCTGTTCTTCCCTCCTGGGGCAAGGAGTGTGGGAGGTGACAAGGGAGATCTGTAATTTACTCAGTTGTAAAATGCTTCTGAACACAGTGTATGCCTGACTAATGAGACTTTTCTTCTTCCTTTGTAAATTCTGCTTAGGTGTTTCAGAAAAGGTTGGTAGGGGCAGGGTCACTCTTTTACTTCCAATCCACTCGATTTTCTGTTTTAAGACTAGTCAAAGCAGGTGGGCTGGATGAACAGGAAAGTCTCCAGCTGGAATGTCTGTGGAATTATGTAGGCGTCTCTTAGCAGTATTATGCATTTGTGCATGTGTGCACATGCGCACATGTATGTAGACAGTCAGAACAGAGAACTAGACCACCCAGCTCCAGGAACCAATGAATTTCATTCATTCTAGAAGGCAGCTGGTTTCTTGGCTACTTAACTCCTTAATCTTTCTCCATTCTGGTGCATGAGGCTGGCGCTTGGGCTGAACATGATGAAGAGGAAGGGTCAGGGAGGATTGGAGATGCGGTTCTTGGACAGGGTAATGTATTTTCCTTCAGTGACAATGAGTGACAGAATTTGAATATGAAGACCTTTTGCCAACATTTGGAATTACTGTGATGGTTTTGACATTTTTGTCTCAGAATTTTCTCAGGGAATGTGACAAAAGTCAGAGAGGATCACAATTTTGGCAACTAGTTCAGGATGACAGAAAACATATTGAAGATTTGTATGGGCATGTTTATGATTTGAGCGTAAAGTGTTTCTCACAGGCTTTTGTTTATCCAATTGGTCCTCTAAAAGGTCCTGGAACCTTTTAGACATGGGATCTAGCTGGCAGATCTGAGAGGGGAGGTTACAGATCTCTCTTTTCTGCCAGTGTCATGTGACAAGCAGCTGGCACAGGACCCTGCCACCTTGCCTTCCCCTCTTTGATGGCCTGCATCCCTCAGGTCATGATGTAAGCCTCTCTTGTTAAATTGCTTACTGTCAGGTATTTGGACACTATAGCAAAAAAAAAAAAAAAAAATAACCAATACAAAGCATATGCTGAAAATCGCTGTCCTCCCCCAGTCAGAACACTGAGATAAAACATGGAAAGAGTGCACTTTTAAAAAATGACAGCATCTGGATGTGTACCTCTTACATAAGCAAGTGAGTGAGTCATTAGAACTGGCCCTGGCTGGAAGCATTGCTTTCTCCTCTAGCACAGTGGTCCTCAAACCTTCCTAATGCTGCGACCCTTGAATACACTTCCTCACGCTGTGGTCACCCCCAACCATAAAATTGTTTTCACTGCCACTCCCTAACAGTAATTTTGCTATTGCTATGAGTCATAGTGTAGGCAATTTTTGGAGATATAGGTTTGCCAAAGAGGTTGAGACACGCAGGTTGAGAACCACTGCTGGAACTCTCATTTACATCTCAAGTGTGTGCAGATGACAGAGGACAGGTGCTGGGAAAGGAGCTCGTTTATTTCCAGCATTCACTTGAGCTGCAGCAGAGGCTCGGCTGCTTGGCGATGATGCTAGTACAGAAAGGTGTATCTTTCAGCAAGACTGCAGAAGTGGGCTGTTGCATGGCAAAGCTCAGAAGCTCACAGTGCCTCCATCTCACGACAAGGCAGATCATGTCCAGGGGGTTCTTGAATGCACGTGTACTTGATGGGAGGCGGTGGTGGCTTGAAAGGTGGGGGTCTTTCCATGCTGGGAAGAAAACATTTCTCTTTCAGTGCCGAGAATACGAGGTGGTATTTTTTATGTTTATTTATTCTATGTGTCTTTACATCATATTTCTTGATCCTACTCATTTCCCTGTCCCTTTGCATCCACCCAAGAGATGGTATTTTTTTGACATTAGAGATATATTGATGAGGAAGAGATATACTCTATCTTCTTAGAATTTTTGGCAGCTTAACTCTGAAAATGATCTTGCCATTTTAATTAATATGGGTTTATACACACATATATGGTTAATGTGTTTTATAGTTTGCAAAGTGGTTTTGAGCTTCTCATTTATTTTGTACCTAAGAATTATAATCACTTTTTGACAGAAAACTGTGGCATAGAGGTTTTAAGGCACTTGCTTAAGAGAAGCAGGCCAGAAAGTGAAGTATTGTAACTAGATCCCATAATCTCCATGGCAACTGCCTCCTAATGGAAGGAGCTTTACTCTTACATGGGTAGAACATTCCTCCAGAGACAGGAACATAAAATTCAAGGACTTTTTCAAATAGTAATTCACCAACTCTACCCTCAGCCTTTATGCACACACGCGTGGACACAGTGAGGATCTGGTACAAGTGGGAAGTGAGGTGTTCCTGTACTCCTGGGTTCATTTGGGGGGGATAATGCACGCTTGAAGTTGTCTTTGTGCAAAGTTCTATTTCACAGTAGCACAACAGCATCTCAATTTAGAGAGAGAAATAGTGAAGAGGAGAATGTGGAGGATAGGGGAGAGAAAGAGAATGTTTTGTATATTTTTATCTTTATATGCATATATGTTATGCAGAAAATAATTGAAAAAACCCAGTATTTTTGTACTTCCATTTATATTAACATAAATATCCCTAACTGAAAAAGATTTATTTTTATGTGTATGCCAGGTATGAGTTCAGGTACCCTCAAAGACCAGAAGAGGCAATCAGAACAACTGTAACATGAGGTTGTGAGCTATCAGAAGACACGGGTGCTGGGAATGAATCTGGGTCCTCTGCAAGAGCAGCAAGTACTCTTAAGCAAGCAGTGAGCCGTCTTTCCAGCCCCATAATCTGCAATTCTCATTACCTTGTTTGTGGCTGTTTAAAAATATATCAAAATGTGGATTTGAGTCTAAGAAACTTATATTTTTTAAGAAAAAATATGAATTTCTTATGGTCATATAGTGTCCAATGTACAGATTTGGATTAAAAACAAACAGAATATTGATTTTGTTTTCAATTAGCATGAAATACTTGTTTCTCATAGTTATAGAGCAGGAGCGTTCACTTTTGACATTGTGACATGATGTTCCTTCCCATCTTCAAATGTGTTAGGACCCATTCATAGCTTTTCTGGGATGCCTGTGGTAGGCAGGATGCCTGTTGGGTGTATCTACTACAGTCTTCAGGGATACTCCGGGAAGAGGATGCTGTGCAGTGATGATTGTTATATAAGATAGCAAACACATGGAGATCAGCGCTGTGCATTGTGGGCTCTCCTGTAGTCACAGCCTAGTCCAGGCTAATCCCCAACAACTGAATCAGAAAAGGGAGGTTGCTGCATAGAGAACATCTTGCCAAAAAATGGAGAAGGGATGGGAGAAGCCCACTCTGATGGAGAGCAGCTGGCAAGTTCTTAAAAATTACTTCTCTTACTCAATTTCCCACTTGAGCATCTGGGCCCAGCTGATCCCACTCAGCTCAAAAATCCATGAAAATGAAAAAAAAAACAATGAAGATTAAAATAGACAAGCAGTTTAGCTTTGTGGCAAGGAGAGCCTTGGTTCTCCTTTCAGGCCACCTGACCTGTGCACAGGATATGTTATTCCACCCAAGTAAGCCAGTGCAGAGAGGGAGACGAAATCAGGATCCGTGTGTCAAGCATACACTGAGTGATCCTGGGAAAACTGTATATTCTCTCTGATCTTCTAGAAACTTCACTTGCTAGTTAAATTATGAGAGGAATGCCGTGTAGTCTTTGTATCAAGTAAATATTTTATGATGGAAAATGTAGATGTTTCTGCATATCTTAATATACTCACATTTCTTTTTGGTACTGACACCATTTCCTTACTGCAAGCCCAAACAATATTGTGCAGAAAGAGAGCAAAGCTGCTACAACCACAGGCCAGGACATTCCATCTCTGGGCTTACTAATAGTTATATCTGAAAAGGGCAGAAAGAGATGAACGTTAGTGTCAAATGTTGGCATTGGGAAAAACACTGTAGCTCAGTGCTTCCCAGGGGTAGAATGCTTGTTCAGCATGCATGAGTTGCCATGTATGATCATTGATGTCACAAAAATATTAACGTTTCATATGGGAGAGACATATTTTCCTCAAGGATTATAAGGTGTTCACTGAATATGACCATACACTCCTTTATATAGGAGATGACAATGTAAAAGTTGATTAAGAATCCTATCAGCAATTTTCTATGACTTTAAGGACATAGACATATATACATGTGTGTCATAAATATATATTGATATATTATAAATATATTCCTTATATTACAAATATGTATTTCATATATTATAAATGGGTGCATCCTTGCATATTATCCTGTTCCAGGCCTCTTAAAACACATTTATTTTCATGGAAATGTATAGAGATACATCTCTTTATGTCATATGCCTGGTTAATTCTCCAGTACTGTAGTTAATTTAATTTGTTTCTTAATGTTAGTTGGTCAAATTATTTCCAGTTTGTTATTCCAACAACACTTGAGCAAAATTTCTTAGACATACAGTTTGTTGTCTTTGAGGCAGGGTTTAATGTATTCTAGGTTGCCTGGGAGTCACTATGTAGCAGAGAATATCCTTCAATTCCTGATCTTCCTGCCTCTACCTCCTGAGAGGAGGATTGTAGATTTGTGCTTCCGTGCCTAACTTATGAGGCTTTGAAGATTAAACCTAGGGTTTACTGAATGCTGGTTGAGTACTCTACCAACTGAACTACACTCTAAGACTCACTCATTCATTCATTCATTCATTCATTCATTCATTCATTCATTCATTCATTCATTCATTGCCAGTGAATCAAACCAGGACCCATGCAAATGCTTAGGCAATCACTCTACCATACCTTAAGAAATTCATAATTTTTCTTAAAAAGTACAAGTTTCTTGGACTCAAATCCACCTTTTGATATATTTTTAAGCCTCCATGAAAGCATTCACAAAAACAACTAGTAAGAATTACAGATCATGGGACTGGTAAGATGGCTTAGTACTTAAGAGCACTGGCTGCTTTTTCAAAGGTTCAGCTCCTGTGTCAGGTAACTCACAATGTCATGTAACAGTAATTCTCTGAGGGCCATGACTGCCTCTTCTGGTCCTTGAGTAATCTTGCATTCATACTCTAGGCATATTTATATTAGTTTACACAGATAATTACACAGATAAATTATCCAGATTGATTTTTTCCCCCGTTTCAAATTGGTAAGTTGCTTGTGGGTGGTGATAAGGTTTATGTTTCTTCGTTTCCTAGTTTTTATTATTTACTTTTATACAGTAAAGTTTCAAAAACAATAGGAATTAAAGGACTGACTTGATAATTTCATGAGGTTGGGACTGTGGGTCAGTGCTGAAGAGTTACCTAGTTACTTGAAGCCTCGAGTTCGACCTTCATCACTAAAAACATTATTGCTATCAATATTTTGTATGTTTACATAGTTTTGACTACAGCTTTATGATATTGTCATGTAGATCATTATGGTTAAATCTAAAGGCTTTTCGTTTTCACATAACACACATTTTTGGTCTTGCTGATGACCCCTCCCACCTCAACCGGCCATAGGAAACACTGAAGGTAACTTTGAAGCTTATGATGTTCTATTCATAAAGGCATCATGCTTTGTCTCTACTAGAGTTCATAGGTACAGACCTGTTGGGTAGCATGAGAAAAAAAAGAGACCAAGCATACAGATAATATTAGTCTAGAGCTGAGAAGAATTCTCTTCTTCAAATCAAAACTTACTAGGCTGTATCTGGAAATCATGTAAAAGCCAACATTTTACAAGCAGCATTTCAGAAAATGCAAGAAGAAAAGTTTCAAAGTGAGTTTCGTGTCAAGGCAGATGAATCATCTTTTGAGCATAGATTCCATAGTGTTTATTCACGTTTCGTGTCAAGGCAGATGAATCATCTTTTGAGCATAGATTCCATAGTGGAGATTCAACCTTTCCAACCATGCCTCTCATGATCATGAAGCCAGTATCATGAAGCTATTGGTTAGAACTTTGTCTTCAGTTTCTTCATCATGATGTGTGGGGGATGATGCTGCAAGTGATGGGCATTTGTAGGGCCACCCACGGGAAAGGTTATGTTGCTCTCTAGTCAACTGAGCATGCTCATCACTGTGTGAAATTGTTGACTATTCCCTATGCCTTGACAATCCTGACCTCTGTGAAGGTTTAAACTACACTTAATCACTTGCTCTTTCAAGATGTAGAACAAGGAATTGCATTTGCACTGACATAATTTTTATTAGTCTAGCTACAGGAATACTCTTTATTACAACAATCTTTCTTGTCTCAAATAATGTTTTCATAAGCCTGCAGTGTTTCTTCTACTTTTCAACGGGATAATTCTTATTCCTTTTTATTCTTCCAGATTAATTTAAAATATAATCACCTTAGAGCATTTCCTATTCTCCAGGTAAAATCAGGTCTTTCTGTTAGATTCTGAGAACACTTTATCATAACTCTTGTCACAAATAAGTTCAGTTGTGTGATTGTTTTTTGTCATTTCCAATGGGCCATAGTCTTTAGGATGCCAGTGTCACTGTATACGAACACATGCCAGCATGTCTGGAAAGGTGCTCAAAATATTTTATTTACTGAGTAAATAAAACATTAAACAAAAGACAAACAACTCACTTGTGATATGACTGTACTCATTTTCAGTTGTTCCTTTTGCAGTTATAGGGACATCAGGAAGTTTGTTGGTTGTGCTAGTGATGACATCTGGAGATGTAAAGGCAACATGCAAATTCATCTTGACAGCCATTTAAATATGATCAGGTAACATAAACTCATAATTGAGTTACAAATGTTACTGGGAAAATCTCAATTTGAATGGCCTCAGCATACCTATGTTAAGTCTGACTGGGATAAGGAGATGTTTCTACATTAAATTTAATTCTAAAAACCTAGGTACATCAAGGCTGGGGTCCTGGGATTTGTCTAACAGTTACCGAATGAGTGGACTTTCCTGATAGTTTAAGGAATAGTGTCTTCACACTTCTGAAGTACAGAACAAGGATGGCTGAAGAAACTCCCTGAAAAATACAAGTAGCTTTAAAATTCTATAGGTGAGGTCATGGGAAGATATGGTTCCAGACATAATCTCACTGGTTAGTTAAGATTCAGCTAATCAAAATATGGATTCTCCATGTTCCAGTATAGTAGAAGGTCATCAGAAATTCTTTTGTAACAAATGAACAAATGCACAATGACCCATCATTCCATGTCCAGTGGAAAATTAAAAATTGAGAAGCATTTTCAGGGGTGTAGCTGGAAAAAAAATGTCATCATATACATGTCTTTTGATGCAAACTAAAAAAAGCCTAAGGCTCTGTTTCTGTCTTGTCTGAGTGACTGGAGGATTTTTGTTCTGTTCATTGTCATTTTCATCACGAGGAAGCTCTTTAAAACACAGTGCCTGTGACTGGCATCTCATCATTCTTGTTTTCCATCTGGGTCCACTTAAGCATAACACTGTCTTCTGTGTCACTCTGTCTTTCCCAGGTACTCACCTTGAGGAGCCAAGCTTGCCTCTGAGGGGGTTGAAGTGTGCCTTTCACTGGGTATCCATGAAACTGCTAAGAAAGAAGATACACAGAGTCAGTGTTTGTAATTGTATTTTTTTCATTATCATTAATTGATTCTAACAACCGGGAAAGGTACAGTAACGAATACTTAAAATAATCTTATTCATTAGCTTTGCAGTGGCCATTTGATTGCTCCCACACAGTGGGAGTTGAGGAGATGCTTATGGTTTTTACATAACACCTCTAGTTGGGAAAGTTTCAATGACTGTCACGGCTGAGGTTTAAAGTTGCCTCCTCTAAATAATGTTGACAATATGAGAGCATTAGAAGTGAGTCTTTAGGAGATCAATACACTACAGGAGCTTCTCCCTGATGAATGGTCTTAAGACCCTTGTGAAAGAGGCTTCTTGGAGCATCTACTGCAGTCTTTCAACCTTGTGCCATGTGAGGACCTGGCATGTGAGGACATGTGTGAAGCAAGGAAGTCTTCATCAATTGCCTGCATCTTGATCTTGATCTTCCAGTCTCTAGAGCTATGAGAAAAGACATGCATTTTCTTTATAAAATCTGTGGTCTTATTCTCCCATAAGTATGAAAGTGGATTGACTTGGTTCCTTAAAAATAGGATGAAAGAATGGAAGACAGCTCCTCTGGCATGGAGAGTAGGCTCTCATGTTCATCCCTAAGAGAAGCATGGGAAGAGAATGAAACTCTCATGTGTTATGGTGGCTTTTGTCAAGTAAACATATCAGGAGGACTTTAAAGGCCTTGTTGGAACATTCGAGAAGGAAGAAAGGCATTCGTGTTTGTGGGTCCCTGGCATTTCCAGTCAACTGTGGACACTGAACTGCATCAAAAGTGAATTAACAGACTTCTATGGCCACAGACCTTGTTAGCCCTGGCACAGTATATGTATGAAACCTGGAGGCAAGCCATTGCCTTGAGTGGATGGCAACAAATATGAGTTTTGAAATAGATCTGTCAACTCAGTTTTGTTTATTGTTCTATCTCTGGAAAGAAAGACCCATTTCTTGGAATACGCCTGACTTTGAAAACAAGCATCAAGGAAGATAACCACAGAGGTGTGTGGTTGCCATCAATGGAAACATTCTATACCTATCCATTTAAAATACAACCACTGTAATGCTTCCAGGTAAGGGCTTTAGAGTGTGCCAAGAGCTAAGCAGATGAATGAATGAAACAAAAACATTTAGCCCCTGCTTTCTTGCTATCTCCTCTTCATGTCAACAGCAGCAGCAACTGATGAAAGGCACAAGCAGAAGCTGCATCTACCATCACTAAAACTCTTCAACCTGCCCTCTGACCTTGGATGACTCTTTTGTTCTGGACAGAATGCCGAGATCTACAGATGATGGACTGATCACTTGCTTTAAGCTCATTTGTGTGTGTGTGTGTGTGTGTGTGTGTGTGTGTGTGTGTGTTTAAGGTATTGTTAGACAGTGATTCCATTGACAAAGAACAATGACTAATTAAAAATCAGTTATGGAAATTTGGGCAAATTAAAGAAGGCAGCAGATTTTTTTTTGGTAAACTTGCTTCTTTTTTTCCCCTGAATATAATGTTGCCTTTAATTTCTTACTTTCATAGCCTGGCATCTTTTAGTACCCTTTCAGAGTACGTTTGCAAGAAAGGATGGGATACATTAATTTATGCTAAGGTAAAAATTGTTGAACAGTTGCTATCTATTTAGGAGAAATCTGTGTTTAAAGCAAAAATATTTTTCACTGCATGTTTATTATCAGTGAACCAATGAAGAAAATTCTATAGTAGTTAGTAACCACTGAACACTAATAGGCTTTGTACTAAATGTGGGATAGAAGTTTTTCTCATTGGTACTGATTTTTTTCTTAAATGAAAAATCAAGCTTGATACAAAACTCAAGGAGCATCACCACAATCCACATAAGTTATATAAATAGCAATACTTAAAATTATGCAAATTGATGATTCAATAACATTTCTTTTTATACAACTGTAACTGTCTTACAATAAGCCATGTTATATAATAATATTAAACTATAAAACTCACTTTGGAAAAGGAGAGAGCTATTTTTACCCATTTTATTTTGTCTGTTCTCATTATGTGGCTCCCAACCTCTCTGTGTAAACCAGGCTGGCTTCACATTTGTGGTGATCCTGTTGCCTCTCTTTCACTATCTCTCAAGCAAAATGATGTTGAGTTCTTGGTTTGATTGAAATCATCTGTGTTGAGGCCTCATCATATTTGTGAAATACATGAGCTAATATCCATTTAAATCTTTTTAAGCATCTTTTTTCACCAAAACCCCAAATGGGCATGGCTTTGAGATGGGAGTAACAAACAGTAGGGTAACCAATAACATTCTCTTGTACAAAACCAGCATCAGCCACAACTGTGAACATAGAGAGACTATGTTGTAGAATCTCAAGTATGTTCATATATCCTTTTTTGAGTGACTCTTAAAATTTGCTCAGCAGGAAAGGGTACTTCTCACCTATAGTAAGGGCTTAATAGTTTGCAGTGCATCCTACTTCTTCACGAGGTACAATATCTGTGGCTTTCCACTTAAGTCCTGTTGACGGTTGTCAGGGAAATTATGGAGTATTAGCAACTGCTTACCATTGTAGTTAGAGCTATTTAGAATCATATCAAAGTTCATTATTATTAGAAATTTTGCAGTTCTTTTAAAATACTTTTGTATTTATTTAATTTTTTAAAATTATTTTTTCAGCCTAGTATATAAGCGTTTTATACACATGCCATATTTTGTTATAATATGTACAGTTCTTTTGATGAAACTACAGATAATTTCTGTTATTCTTATATGTTTGTTCGTGTCAGCTGAGTATTTGGGAGAATTTTTGCATAGTTTTTATACATACAGAAGACTTTCCCTACTTTTATTGCTTAGGCAAGGTCTCAGGAATCCCATGTTGGCCTTGAACTTTCTATATAGTTTAGGACGACGTTGAACTCTTGGTCTTCCTGTTGGCACCTTCCAAGTGCTAGTATTATAGGCATGTTTGACTTATGCTTGACTTAGGAGGTAGACGTTTAATGAGCTGTTTCTCAGTTGTTGAGTCTTCCCTAAGGGAGTATCCTTAAGTCCCTGATTTTTGCTGAGGTGGCAAAGAACATCCAGAGAGCAGATACAGGGATTTGGGAAGTCTGTCTACTGTTTTGCCTTTCCCATCAAGAAGAATATGTCTGGATATGGCATCACTCCTGTCTCTAGAATGCACAGAGTGGTGCTAACTATTGTGCCCAGTTTGGCCATGACCAGCTAGTCCACAGGTGGGACCCTCACAAGGTTCCCAATCATAAAAATGAGATGCTGCTCACAGTCTTTGTGGCTAGAGGAGATGACATTCTAACAAAAAGTCAACTTTTAAATCAGAGAAGTAACATTTTCACTTGAGGCTGACTTCAGAGGAAGCTGTGGCGCGGCAGGGTGGGGTGGGTGGGGGTTTGGGGTGGTAAGTAACAATGCTTTTATTCCCTCTGTTTTCCTCCATTTTTTAATTTAAATTAGAAACAAGATTGTTTTACATGTCAATCCCAGTTCCCTCTCCCTCCCCTCCTCCCCTGCCCCCCACTAACACCCTACCTATACCATACCCTTTCTGCTCCCCAGGAAGGGTGAGGTCTTCCATGGGGGGTCTTTAGAGTCTATCATAGCCTTTGAGATGGGGCCTAGGTCCTCCCCCGTGTGTCTGGGCTTAGGGAGTATTCCTCTATGCGAAATGGGCTCCCAAAGTCTATTCCTATGCTAGGGATAAGTACTGTACTACTACAAGAGGCCCCATAGATTTCCCTAACCCTAACCCTGAGAATACTTTTGAGGAGAGGGAGTAGAATGAGCTGTGAGCTTAGAGTAAGACTTTAGAAGTGGAGTACAGAAATGCTGAGTTTAGACAGCTGAACCAACAGGGGACAGGAGGACTGCAGGGGTCATTGTCCAGCTCCCTGAGGTTCTGACATGGCAGGATCCTGTCACCACTGTCTCTCAGTCCCTCATTGTCACCTTCTGCCCTCTTTGTTTCTCCAAGAGGCTCTCACCGCAAAGCTCAGGAGAGTCTAGATCTCCTGATGCTTCCACCTCATCTTCCTGAGTGCTGGGATTACAAATGTGCCACAGCTCTAGCCTTCTCATCCCCCCCTGCCTAAGAGGCATAGTCAGAATGCTGTGCAACCATTAGGATTTATGAATACCAAGAATCTGAAAATTCTTGCCGGGACTAGAGGCAGAGTTAAAAAAATGTACATTTGTAAAACTGAAGAAAGTGACATAACATGTGAAAGTTAACTGATTTATGGTCTAAGAACAATAGTCTCCCAGGTGGCTAGTGAAGAGGGTGGAGAGGCAGGTTCTAGTCCTGGAAGGCTGAGGCCATCTCCTCGACAGCCTCGAAGCCATTGTGGCCAAGCAGGAACTGTGGGGGCTGGAAGCTGGTGGTTGTGTGCTGAGAGGGCATTGACATTTCTGGAAATTTTTTACAGAAACAAGTTAAAGTATCTTGACTTTCTGCAAAAGCTGAACACCAACCCGGTTAGAGGCTCCGAGGCTCCTACCACTCTGAGCCCAAACTGCTTTTTTTTTTTTTTTTTTTTTTTGACACACTGTATGAGATATGCTACTCCCCAACAAGACCAAGTGAGGCCTGGCTGCCCTGGAATGCCTCAAGGTGTTGGATAGGATCCCTCTGTCTTAAGACAAGAAACAGCAGACGAGGGTACCTGCTGCCCTTGTGGTTGTGTAATGGAAGCCTTTGAGGAAGTTTGCTCACCTGGGGCATCTGGCTCTTGAGGTCCAGGGGAAGTACCAGGCAATGACAGCCATTCTGCAGGAGAAATGGAAGGAGTAGGCCAAGATCCACGATCAGAAGAAGCAGCTCTTGAAGCTAGAGACACAGGCAGAAAAGGACATGGAGAAGAAAATCAGCAAGTTCACAAAGGTCCTCGAGACTAAAGGAGTCCTGGTGTGAGCCCAACAAAGATTGTGCCTCAAAAACAAACAAACAAACAAACAAAAGCCAATGAAATCTCCCTTTAAAGTCAGCGATGGTAATTATGAGGCTCAGGCCATGAAAACGTCATACATGGATGTCCTGGAGTGAGTGAGATGCTTCAGGCCCCTGGAGACCCAAAGTGCTTTTTTGCTTGTTTACCTCAGATTGACTGGTTTCGATGTAGCTTTAAGCTTCACTGGACCAGGTGAATGGCAAGGGAATTCAGGAAGAAAGTAATTAAGATTCAATTTTCCACTCCATGGCCTGATGGCCTGAGCACTGGGGTGAACATGTCTTCCAAGATGCCATTAACTTAACCCACTGGGGTATGAAGGTGGCCCATCAGGGTGTTCCCATTTCATAGGTGCTTAAAGTAAAATACACATTTTATTTCCAGATCTTGAGAAATTTGGAAGCTGAAGTAGGATTAGATCCCAATGTCTTTTAAGCCTGGCCTGATCTCATTAAGTTAATAAACAAATGACAGCAAAAGACTGCATTCAAGCATATCCTTATAAATGGGGAGACATACAACGCAATAAAAATGGAAGAGGTATTTAAATATGTATGAGGCCCATAAAGTGAATCTCCCAAGACCATGTTCATAAGCAGCAAAGGACCCAGAAACACAGAAACCATTCATTATCATTTTTTCTGCCTGTAAGTACTTCATAAATCTATTGAAATAAGCATATTGAGAGGAGAAAAAAAAATCCCATTACCAACGCCTGTCCTGAATCTTGCCAAATGCATCATCCAATATTGCATGTCGCACTACAGCCCAATTCAACTGGCAGCAATGTGTTTCAAAACAGTTGAGGAGTGAGCATTCAATTTCAGCTTGTTAGATTCTAATGGATTTCTGTGAATGATTATAAATAGAGCTACCCACAGCAGGAGATTTTTTTCTTTCTTCTTTAAAACTTATGGAGAGAAAATGATCACATCTTATTCATGCAGTATTGAGAATGTGAGTCTTCACTGCTAGTGAAACATTCTTTGTCTGATGGATGGCAGTCCCCTCTGAGACCACTTTAGGGTAAGAACACTGCTAAGATGTCCTTGGACAAATGAAGTTTTCAAATGGCAAAGAACAGTAAACATGAAAGACCATCATAGTTCATTTCATTGTGAACTGTATCAAAAGACTAAGAACGCGGCACATAAACTATAAAGCAAGACAGCAGCATGGGATCTTTGTTTCCTAGTTTCTGAGCTAAAAACTGCATTGGTTAGCTGTACGGTTGGAACTTCCGGCTTGCCCCTGTACAAACTGGAAAACCCCCGCCCACACTGAAAAACTAAATGGAAAGGAGTGGAACCAAAAACTCAATTCCACATTTCTGGCAACCAGTCCAACCCACCTTCCTGTGGTGACCAGCCCACCCAAGTACCCATCCAGTGGCTTAGCTTTTGACCATACTTGGCAGTCCCAGCTCCTGGCTGACACACCATCATCCCTCATCTAAGATCTACAAAACCTCCCTGCCTTAGCTTCAGGGAGAGACTTCTCTGGTCTTGTTCATTCTCTGAGACAAGTCAACCCACCAGGAGTTGCTTTGTTCTCAACAGCTATGTTATTATACTTGTAGTTTGACTTGATGAGGGTTACTGGTTAGTGGGGAAACAACTATCTAGATAAAGACATATCTATGCCCTACTTCATGCTGGTGTACAGGACAGGAAGAATTTTCCATTCTTTCTCTTCCCTTCCTCCTTTCCTCCTCTTCTTCCTCCCCTCTTCTGTCTGTGCCCTTTTCCCTAACACAGCATAATATAATAACAATGCAAATAAATATGACTACAGGCTCAGGATGTAGCTCATTTTGGTAGAGTGCTTGCCTAACATGCATGAAGCCCTAGGTTTGATCCACAGCTCCACCACTGACAGAGCTAGCTAGGTATGGCAGTGTGTGCCTGTAATCCCAGCATCCAGGAAGTGGAGGCAGGAGACAGACCTAGGTATGGAGGCAGGAGGATCTGAAGTTCAATTCAAGTCAGCCTCAGCCTGGGCTCCATTAAACTGTCTCAAAAATAAACTTCAAACTTCCAATTAAGTCAGTCATTTCATTTTACTGTGTGTCTTCCTGAGTCGTCGTCTTTGTCCAGATGCAATTATCTTTTCACTCATTCACTCTCTGATGAGCACTGTCATTGTTGTAGATGTTAGGATACATAGGGCAGTGAGAAAGAGGGCAAACATTTTAGGTCAATGTTCTATCTTACCCTATACACTAGTATAATTATAAAAATAATAAAAATAATGAAAAAGATAACACATTGAAAGGTATGGTGAGAATTAAAATATGAAATACTTTATATGCACTATATGCACAATATAAATGTGTCTTAGAGTTGTCTTTTCCAGTAACACCCTCAATAAACTTTCATCTCTATTGCTACAAAATTTTTATTGTATAACCAGACAGTGTCCCTTCGTTTATCTGAATGTCTCTCTTTCACTGGTGTTTCATTGACTTGTCCAGGGTTTACTTTAGGGACAGGATACAGGTAAATGTAAAGAGTCCATGGCACTTGCATTTAGGACTGTCTAAAGAATAAAGGATGATAAAACACTAAGGTAGGTGGAGAATTTTAGCAGTTTATTACAAACAACTCTCCTTCATTTGGCACCATAGAAGTGTGGACTTTCTTTCTCTGGGTCACTAATGTTTCCTTGCTATATCCACTGTGTGGATATAAACTTGTGTCTTTGCATATATAAGACACATTGAGTATTTTGTACAACATGGCTATACTTTTGGATGGTTTCATAATACTTCATTCTGTTCAACATCCTCCTGTTTTTTTTATTATCTCCCTTTAATATTGTCTCACTTTTATCCATACACATAGATTTGGGTTGTTATAAATGAAAGTATACTTGTTCTGTCCCTTATTATTTCTAATAATACTGTTATGAATACTATAATTTATGTAGTCAATAATTTTATCCCATGACTAATCCATGTATTAAATTACGTTCTTTATGATTAATTATTTTCTGAGATAGAATTTTATATCTCACGTGGACTTGGAACTCACCATGTACATAGTCAATAATTTTATCCCATGACTAATCCATGTATTAAATTATGTTATTTATGATTAATTAATTTCTAAGATAGAATCTTATCTATACCACATGTGTGGACTTGGAACTCACCATGTAAACAATGGTGGCATCAAACTCATAGTTAATTGAATCTCTTGTTTCAGTCCCTAGAGTGCTGGAATTACAGGTGTATGCTACCACATCTGGCTAAATAGTTTATTTTTTAAAATGAAAATATATGTTGTGCCTGGTATTTTTTGGAGACTGAGCACAGACTACTTAAGATTTATTTATGCTACTACATGTCTGCTCTCCATTCATCTTTTGTTCTTCTACAGCATTTTATTCTAGTACATAGCAATTTACCTGTTCTATTGACCATGGCCATTTAGATTATTCATAATTTTTGCTGTATAAATGGAGTTTTCTGCCAATATTTGTACTCATTTCTCCTGTATACAGTAAATTGTGGGAGAGGACTATAACTAGGAATAAGATTGTTGGTTAGGGTTGGTCTCTGTTTAGCTTTCAAACATTGTGCCTGAGCTGTGGGAAGAGAGTATAACAACTTGTGCTCACATAAACAGCATGTAGAAGTAATAATTGCAATACAGCACTTGACAATGCCAATGTAGAAAAAGCGACTTTGATTTTAGTCCTTATTCAACTTTCTTGATTCTCAGGGAGACAAAACAACTCTTTAGATGTTTCTGAGGAGATGCGTTTCATAATTTGAAATGAAGAGTTATCTCCATTTTCTATTGGCTTTTGTTGTTGACTTGTAAGAATTCCTTACATGTTTATTCTATTGTCTTTTATCTTGTTGTTTTGAGCTGCAAGAATTCTTTACACACTCTCTGTGTGTACTTGTGTGGTACATGGATGTGGATGCATGTGTGTACGTGCAGTTGTATTCACCTATATACATGTGTCAGAAACCAAAGAAATGTAAATAATAAATCATTATGCTAAATTTTCAGCACGGAGTGTGCTTAGCTCATCAAATAGTCATAGATAATCGGAAAGCACGAAGCCTCCCCCTGTCCTAGCTGGAACTGACACCAGCTAGTCTCAGCACCCTGAGAGCTAGAAAGCTGCAGACTGCAGTCTCAAGCCCCAGGATGCTCATCAGATAAGACTTTGCATCATGAGCCAATAGGATGGGGCATTTGTATCCTGAGCCAATAGCATGCTCAAAGAATGTGAGGACTGTAACTCACTAGAGTACCAGCCTGTGGGAAAAAGAGGGCAGCAATTTCTTGGGATCAGGAACTTTAAAACCGGATCTGTTTCATGACAAATCAGTATGCTAATTATTTTTGTCTCTTATTTATGATGGTGTCCTTTCTACAGAACCAAAAGCTGTTTCACTTTTGCTTCTCTTGAGTTTGTATTTACAGAGTGAGGTCTTGCTTCTCACAGAAGGATGTCAACCAGGTGTCCTGATCTATCACACTCTCCCTCATCCCCTCGAGAATTCCCTCATTGAAACTGGAGCTGGCCAACTGGCCAGCTTCTGCAATCTTCTTGCCTCCCTTCCCTTCTATAGCACTGGGCTGAAAGGCTTGCATAGCTATGCTGACTCTTGCTGGAGTGCTAGGAATCTGACTGAATTCAGGTCCTCATATTTGCATGCATAGCCAACATGAACACTAGTTCCCACTGGGCCATATGCCCAGCCTCTCCTTACACAGATGTAGAGGTACTGAGTCCTTTCAGTTGTGAAATATGTGACCAATATCTTCTCCTACAGTACCACTTCTTTTAAAACTTTTTTTTAAAAAACCCATCTTCTCATGAACCAGATTTCTTAATTCCATGTGAGTTATCAATCCTTTTAGAGCCAGGATAAAAAATAATCATATTTTAACATTTGTATTTTTACATCAAGATCTTAAACTATGCTTATTCTAACTGTAAAGAAGTTTACTGAATTGTAGACTTCAATGTGTTTAGTTTTACTGTGTGAGATTTTTATTTGTAAGTTTTTTAAACAATAAAGTTTATACAATTGAAATAGGTATTATACTATATGTAATTTGCTTCTGCATAATGTGCAGAGTAACAGTCCATTTGGATGCTTTTCTTAAAAATAATCAATATTTCTGGTAAGTTGGCAGAAAAGTCCCTTTTTTTTCACCATCATCTGCCATGAAACACCACCTCTGGTCCATGTCTAAATTCCACTTATCTGTGCCTCTCCTTTGGTGCTCCCACTTCTGAACACTGTTTTTTCACCCCTTGTTTTGAGGGCACTGAGTTTAAACATAGGTATCAATTATTAGTATATTTAATGAAGGGAATATGTTAAATTATGGAGGATATTCCATTGGCTAATGATAAAAGTATGTGATGAATTAAAGGCTATAATTAATCTAACTTCAGGCATGAGGTTCACCAAGGAGATAAAAGCAATAATAATATTACAAAGACCTGTAGTGTATGAATTCTTTTTTTCTCTCTCTCATTTCCTGAGGACAAACTTCCAGTGGCACAATGACAGAGTTAGTGAATACAGCGATTTTAAAGGTGTTTACATGTAGCTTAAAAGCTTGTCAATGTATGTGCTCTTTGTGCCAGAGAGCCCAGCAGTTAAGTTGGATGTTATACCTGAGGCCAGCCATATCCTCGCTTCTTTCTTTCTACTTTCCATGCCACATCCCCTATGCAGCTCTTTGTCTTCTGCCACTAAGAGGCAGTATTTACCCTCTTCAGGCTGTTAATATCTACTAAGGTGGTCCCTGCAGTTGGTTCCAAGGTATAGTAGTGACTTTACATTGCATTTGACTCTCTCTTCTATTTAAAACAAATATAATATTTAATTTATTCTTTGAGAATATTATGCGTATATTATGTGTATACAGCACATAATATATGTGTATACAGCATGCTTTGTTTATATTCTTTCCCTGCTTCTCTCCTCCAATTCCTTCCAGACTCTTCCCAACATGCCCCTCCCTTCACAATTCTATCTATCTATCTGTTTGTCATCTATCATTTATCTCTCTATCGATCATTTATCTATCTTATCTATCTAACCTCTTCTTTCTCTGTGTCTCTTTCTTGGTAAATCACTGAATCTAACTAGTGCTGCTCATATATGCATTAGTGTGGGACCACCCTCTGAAACATGGTCAACCTATCAGAGACCACACCCTTAAAGAAAACCAAGTTTCTCTCCCCTAACAGCCATCAACTGCCAATGGCTCCTCAGCTAGATGTGGGAGTTCATTCTCTTTTATTTTTGCTATGGATTCACACATCCTGGCTAGTTTGCATTTTATACACATGCATTCAGAACTTTCCTTGACATCTTCATTGGTTTTTGATTCTACCTATCACCTTTCTTCTTTTCCCTTCCCTTACCCTTCCCTTTCTCCCTCCCTTCTTTCCAGAAGGCAGTATATCCTCAAGAACTACCTATGTACCAGAAGATGACCTTGAACTAGCTGTGTAGCTAGTTCATGAACTCCCAGTCCTTCCTTTTCCATTCATCAAATGCCAGGATTACAGATGTGTACTATCATGTCTATTTTAGACTCCTCACTTTCAACACCATTTTCCAGGTACCATAGCAGCACCTGCTGCCTGCCCTTGACCCTTCCTATGTCTGTGTATTGAGTTTTTTTCCTTGTATCATTAGTTACCATGTTTATTTCTCACCTCACAGCAAATTTAGAACTAGACCTCATCCATATATCTATTCTAATCTCCTGCAACAGTACTTTAAACATAGTAGATGCTTTCCAAGTTTTCAAGAATATGATTATGAACCCAGGATATGATGGCTGCTCAATAATGTGCTGGGTGAATGAATGGAAGGCACAGAGGAACCCATGGTTATACTCCACCATTTTGGCATCTGTCCCAATAGATGTCTGGGAATAGTTGAAGCCTTTAGTAGTCATGCTGGAATTACTGCCTGAAAGATAAAATTATTTTCACAAGCCAACTTTTTTCTTATAGAACTGTAATTTAATTTTACTTTGATGCATTGTTTTTAATCTGCGAGACCTTGGGGACATGTGAAATGTCCTTCCAACTCAGATACTAGCTGTTTTGAGGTTGACGCTTTGTGTTTCATGTTTAATGCCAACTTGTTACTGGTGTATTTCCGTTTTCTATCCTTGTAACTGGGTTACTTTAATATAACCTTAAAATGCGTTGACAAATGAAAGGTCCACTGTAAAGCATGCCATCAACCTTTACTGTTAATATTATAATGATAATCACATCCATAGTAGTCACTGCAGGGTAACTCAAAATCAACTGGAAAACATAAACTTCTCCTGAAACTCAGGGTTTTAGATGCAGTAGTAAGACGGGGGAGTTATTGGGTATGAAGCACAGGAGGAAAGGCCTGCTGTACTCACCTTGAGAAGTTGCATCTGGTGTAGCCACATCCCCATCTACAATGGTCATTGAAGACATAGCTGGAGACCCTGTTTTGAAAACAAAATTTCCAAATTGCTATAAGCATTTACCGTCACATGTTTAATGATGACACTAAACAAGAGTCTTGGGAGGAATCTAAGTAGACACATAGTCTCATAGCTTCATTTTAAATATGGAAAAATGCTGAACAGAGGAGTATATGCTTATGGTTACACAGCAAATATTCACATAATTCCTTTGCTGCTAACACAGTTCTCCTAAATTCAAATCTATTATATTCACTCTCCAAAACATATATTGATTCAATATTTACTTTTTCACCAAACACTATATTCTAAGTGCTAGGGTTGTAGCAATAACTGAAATCAAGGTTGCTGTTGTCTTGAAATTTATCTTACAATGAATTTTCATAAGGCTAAAATATTGTCACATGCTAACAACTGTTTCATATTTATTTTGATTCTTGGCTTACAATGAATTTTCATAAGAATATATTTCCACATACTATGATTTCATATTTATTTCAATTCTTAGCTTACAAAATCATCTCCATCTTTACAACACACCCATTTCTTCCTTTTTGTCTCCCCAGTCACAAATGAAAATGTGTTTCACATTCACATAAAATGTGAATGTTCCTCTAGAGAGGAGGCAAGACAGATGAACGAAGGAAAAATCCAACTACACTGTTGAACAATGCCTGCATCTCTTCGAGAGACATGTCTTTAATATATTTTGGTAGTGTGCATTTCTCCTTTGTTCCTAAACATACCTAAGGTGGCTTATGTAAAAATTCAGCAAAAGAAACAAAACAGTGAATAAAAAGAGGAAATAAGGACAGAGGAAATAGGAAAAATTGAGTTTTGTTGAAACGGGAATAGGGATTGGACATAATATGCATTATTGGTATTTTTTCCCTTATCATGTAGAGTCCCACATTTGGCCTGAGTTTTCTAGGGCAAATGTTAGGAAAGAAACAAATGTATATTACTTGATTGATGTGTATTAATAGAAAAGTAAGTCAGTTTTGGAGTTATTCATTTTATCATAATTGAGAAAAGGATTTTCCAAATTCTTGTACGATGAATGCTGTGGAAGTTGTACAATGTCATTAACAACATCCTCACAGCAGACTAAAACCTCTTGATTTAAAATAATGGTTTTCATATTATGACATACTCTATAGGCAACCCAGGCGATAGAGAGTTAATTGCTGTTTCCTAGCTGTTCATTTTTCCTTCAAAGTGAAGACTTACTGTTATTAAATTTTGCAAGTGTTCAGACATATATCATCATGATTGCTGTTTCCAGGAAAAAAAAAACAAACAAGCAGCCACTTCATCCAATTTGTTTTGTTTATACTAGTTCAGAACCTTCCACAAGTTTAGATGAGGTTTAAAGCATTCCAGCCCATTTCATTTTTAAATACTTTTCATTAAAAAGGAAGGACTACCCTTTTATAGTTTCTGTAAACATTCATGTGGTCTTGGTTGGAAGAGACAGAAGTATGTTCTACAAGAGTTAATTGTGGCTGCTGCCACATGCCATTATGTTCAATACTTTTAAGCCTACATTCTTGTTTGTTTCCCCACAGACTGACCACCTGCCTCCCACAGAAAGAGCAGATGGATAATGTCAGTGGTCCCAAAGTTTGAGAACTTTTTGAAAATTCTGTAATACACCTGTGTTCATGAGGTGACGGTTGAACAGTTTACTTTTTCATATCCTGAGCTGCCTGTATTAGGTTAGAGCTAGACTATTAAAGGAAGCCCCTTCTTATATACTTCTCTCTTCTTCCTACCCCATGTTCTCCAAAGGAGGGGTCTAAGCCAGGAACAAAAATTGGAGGAAAGGTTGGAGTCAGACCAGGGTATTACAAAACTGCTTTCTTGCCTTCACTCACACAGACATAAAGCACAAAGCCAGTACATGTCAGCCGTCTGCGGCTGAGGCAGACCCATGCTTGCAGTAGGGAGAGAAGAGAAATTCCGGACTAAATTAACTTTTTCAAGTTTTGAAACTATATTTGACAAGACTTTTAAATTATTGACATACATCTGTTCTAGTGACTGAAAAAGACCAGACGACATTTATTATATATATGAAAATCACCCCCCCAAGGCTACGTAATTTGTCTGAAATTTCTTCTAGAGGCCAAGAAACTATTCACCAGACTCATTTGAACAGAGAATGATGGAGAAAATAATTTTTTTTTGCTACCCAGTCCATCTTATGTAATCAGCCAAGTATAAGAATAAAAGTGATTTGCAAGTGCAGTCAGAAGAATGTGGTTAGTCAGGCTAACTTATCCTAGGCTTTCCTTATATTCCTGTGATATTGCCTGAAAATTAAATTATTTTTCATATCACAGAGTTTTCACTCTGCTTTCCATTCAATCACTATAGCATCTACTGGATTACTTGGACCAATCTTCTTTGTTTCCCGAACAAATTTGGAGTTACTCTCCATCAGCTCCCCTGCAGCATAAAAAGCCTTTAAAGGCAGTGGTAAGATGGAGAATCTGAGCCATAGTGACACATTCAAATGAGCCTTATTAGTCCCAGTGGTCAGACCCAGGTAGAGACTGACCTTCAGGCTAGTGTGAAGAAGACACTCATAGAGATGGCCTAAAAACATCACAAAACTCTTGTCACAAAGGAGGCTGCTTGTCTAACATGTTAAATGAAGAGGTAGGAGGACCATATACCACTAGATTATTGGTCTGAAAAGAGTTCCAGACTAACTTAATGAAGATAACAGAAAACAAGACAGAGTTCTCCACATTTGTGATATAGTCCTAGACATGGTAATTGTTAATAATCTTAAAATTGATCATCCAGCACTGACAAGATTTTTCAGCAGGTAAAAGTGCCTACTATGCAATTCAGATGATCTGAGTTCAATATGTGGGACCTAGAGTAGAAGAGAATTGACTCCCCAAATTTATCCCACTCTCTCAGCCACCTTGCTGTCCTAGAATTTCATAGAACTAAAAGAGTGCAATGGGTTTCTGTGGATGGTGTAGAGTCATACCTACAACAAAGATTGTATTAAGATGGTTTTGGAAGAGGTAAAGCATGGAAAGGTGTTCTTTCCTCTGATTTATTTCCAGCAAAGGAGGTGTGAGTTCCATTCTTGGAGACTGAGTTTCTCAGGAACCACTGGTCCACCAAAGAGAAAGATTAAAGCAGGTATTCTGTGTGAGCAGCATCAACAACAATTCCAAATGGGCAGAGATTTATCTACCATAAAGGCATTTGTTGAGCCAAAGCCTGTACTGACAAAGGCAGTAGTCTGGCTAGCTAGGCTCTCCTATCTGGCTCATCAACCTTCCGTAGGACTTTGCTTTTGCTATTTAATCTCTGTGCATTAGTATTCTTTCCTGTGAAATGGGTTGTAATAATACTTCAAGTTTGTGCTATTGGCAGAATGAAATGAAGCAATGTATTTATAGTTTAGAATAATCCCAGACATACTGGGAGAGCTCAACAAATATCAGTGTCTCTGTCCAGCTATCTGACACAGCCACGTCAGTGGGAAATAGTTAAGATAATTGCTAGGAGAAACCTGGGAGGCACTTGTGTGACAGTATTCTAAAAGGCTTTCTTTCTGCCCGTGTTTAGTCAAGCAATGCTGGTAAGCCTTCTGTCATGGGGCTCTCCATTTCTACAAATGCCTTGTTGAGACTGTCATCAACTTAGGTCATGTTAAATCAATATCACCCAGTCTTCGGGCTGCTTGTTCTTGCAGCTCCCATCTTTCCTTTTCCTTACACACTAAGAAGCCACAGTGACTTCTGGCATGTAGATCAGTCTAAATCCACAGCCCACTGGCTTGTCTGACCTCACCTCACCTGGCTCCTTAGCACCTCTCTCCCCAGCAGTGCTTACGATGTCCTCTGCTTCTCTTCTCACAGATGGGTTCAACTTATTTCCAGCTGTGCTTAAGATGACAATTTTAGTTTGGGGCCTGGTTAATTTCAGTGTATAACTTTTAAATGAGTAATAAATTTTTTAGATAATAAAGTTTAAAAATTTTTTAAAAAGATAATAATTTGAAGACCCATTTTGCATCTTCCAGTTGAGCCCATCCCTCCTTCCAGACTCTGCATCTCTGCATGCAGACATCCCCAACCCTATTTGCATGCTCGGCATGGCACTCTGAGTATTGCTGTGATAGTTGGTTGTGGTGGTGGTAGTCATGGTGCCCTAGGGATGCAACCCAGGGATCTGCATATGTTCATCAAGCATTTTACCTCTAAGCCATGCCCTAGATCTCTCTGCCCTGCCCCTTTCCCAAATATATATATGGATGATGATGGTAGAAACTAATGGAGTTGCCATCACATCCAAGTCACCGACATCTTTACCTCCTTTCAACTCTCTCTGGGACTCTCTTGCTTTAGAACCCAGTGTTCTACCTGCTGATGTTTTCTGTGCTGCTTCCTTTTGATATTACCCAATAATGCATCTCCTGAATCTGTTCTCCATCCATTTCTGACATATTTATGTGTTTGTTATACTCTGGGCACTCATTCCTCTGCCCTCTGTCTCCCATGCATGATCATCTACTTTTTTCAGACCAGCTGTTACCACATGAGGAACACGCCAAGGTCTGGACTCAGAGCAGATACGGCATTTTGTTCAAGGTGTTCAGAGTAGGCAATAAGACTGTGAGAACCAGATAAGTTACTAACGAAGGCTCACTATCAAAATCAATGTAATTGGGTCAGAGAGTTGGGTGTAGACATAAAAACAGGACTCACAGCCAAAGAGTCTGTGGCCTATTGGACAGAGAGATTAGAAATCAAGGCAAGACTTGTGCAGTGCTATCAGTTCTTTGCAATAGAAGCACTGTCTTGAGTCCCTCGCCACTGTAATGTGGCACCTTAAAAATCCCCCAGTATGTTTGTGGGTGCTCTATGTTGTCTGTAGAATGAATAAATATCTTGACTGATGACCTCAGACTGGGTTGGTGCCTCTGTGGCTCATTGTTTTATACAACATAACTAGTAGTCAGTTTCTAGCCCGTGAATTGAAAGGACCAGAGAGAACACTCTTCTGAGGACAATGAGAGCTGTACATCACTGCTGGTCACCCTCAGCTTGCCAGGTATCTCTGATGCTACAACTGGGCTTTAGCTGCCTGTCAGCTTCCATCTTTTGCTGGAATGACACAGAGAAGGCAGTTGGGGACACAGAACATATCAATGGGCTCTCATGGAGTTGAAGGCGACTTCTCTGGGTGACTCTTGCAGTTTTTGAGCTATGAAGCTCTCCTTCTGGAACTGAAAAGTATTGCACTCATGACCTCTCCATTTGTTTGAAAAAAATCAAGTTCCGTTGAATACTAAGAGTGAGGAGTGTACACTTGCAGGCAGACCAGGAGCTTTGCAATGCTGAGTGAATAGCATATCTCCTTACATCTTACAGTTGAGAGTGAAACACAGCCTTCTGAAGTTGATTTCTGTGTCATGCTGCATCTAGATTCCCTTCTTGAGAGACCATCAAAGGTGGCTCCCACCAGATTCCGAGTCAGCAATTATGAGATTTTTACAATGACCCACTAGGTTGCTGAAATTAAATGGGGATTTCTCTAAAGCAATTCAATGACCAGGCCAGTCAAATAAGATTAATTTAGGGATGTTTGCTAGCTATTGATTTAAACATGGTCTCTTTGGCATATAACAATCAGGCAGAAAATTGTTTCAGACACAATCTGCAGGTGCCATCTTGATGAACTCTCAATTGAATTTTGTAGAGCAAAAGATATCTGTCCTAATTATATCAGAGTGTGTTGTTAAGCCAGGTTTCTCAGACTCAGCACACTTAACATATTGAACTAAATATGCCTTGTGATGAGGGCTGTGCCATCCTGTGTTATGTCATGTTTGGGAGAAGCCTTCACTTCTACTCACTGGATGCTACTGGGACCTCGCTACCTCACTGAGACAACCCCAGATCTGTCTGGACATGACCAGATGTCCCCTCATTGTGGGAAGGGAGGGTAAATTATTAAAACACATGATCTAAGGAAGTTCTCAGCTCCAAGAATTGATGCCTTACTTTAAGGAGGGCCTGGGTTCTTCAGAAAGTTGTCAGTTACGTCACCTTACTGGAGAACCCCGCCCCCCACTACACACCACACATACATTGCATTGTGATCTTCACTATGAGTAATAAAGAAGGAAAAACAACACTTCATTTCATATAAAAACATTTCAAATGATACAACATGGTGACTTAGGTATGTTCACAATTCCTGCTCTTTCCTTAAAAAGATGGAATCTCAGTCTTTCCCCCAAGAATACCCTTGTTTTTCATGAATAGAATAAAGCAGAGGAGACCTTCAGTGTGGGAGAGAATGGCATTAAAAGGGTACTTTTCTGGAGCCATTACTTCTTGAAGTACTTTGTCAAGGGGAAGTCAGCGCCATATTGGATGCAGTCCCATGGAGAGGCCCACTCAGTGAGCACTGAGGACTCCTGTTTTGAGATCAAGCTTGAGTTCAGATGTACATGCTTCTACTCCAGCCAATCTTTTATATGACTGAAAGTTGAAACAAGGACTCAACCTCACTGCACTATAAACCCTTAGTATTATCCAGCTAAGCTGCAGATTCCAGGATCCTGAATCCATTTGAGGTGTTTTGTAATTCACTAAATATCATAGCAATGTACAAACAATATTTAGGGCACTGCAATGGCTTAAGATCTTACTATTGTTATTAAATATGCTGAGGTTTGCTGGGTGAAAATGTCCCGGTCTGTCATAATTCATTGGTGAAACCATGGTCTTTGAAAGTGCTAGCTTGAAAAAAAAAAAAAAAGAGAAGGGTGAGGACAAAGAAGAAAGGGAAGACAGGCAGGAGAGGAGCAGTGTTTATTTAAACAGTGCTATGAAACTCTAAGAGCAAGAAAAAGTCACTAGGACGTGAAACTTCTGATGGATGATTTGCAGACATTTCTCACCTGCCATCCACTTCTCACTTTCTGCAGGGTAGCTGTATGTGACAGTGACTGTAGGCAAAATGCAAAAGCCTACCAGCTAAAGCTCATGTTCACTCCAGTGGACTGCTCTTATTTTATTCCATTTTCAGGCAAAATTGATAGTTTTAATTAAATATGAAATGAAAGCCATGATTCTACTCTACATATACTTTTTTTCTTTTCTTTTCTTCTTCTTTTTTTTGATCAGTGGTCACCATGGATCTTTATAATGTACAAAGGCCACGGGCATCAGGATTATGATTTGTTTGCATCAATGTCAACCTCTGAGATGCCCCACGATGAATGACTTCACCATAGCAACACTGACAACTGTTAACAATGCTATGGAATTCACAACACTCGCTAGCCATCCTGGTGAATTAATTTGAGGCCAGACAAATTTAAACATAAAATGACCTAACTATTTTAGGTCCACAGTACCTCCATTTGCAACCACCATTTTTTTTTTAAAACTCTCCAGTGAGAATATGGCTGTGGAGAACTGCCAATTTACTAACTATTTAATAATGAATACAGAATTTAAATTCCTCACTGAATATTTATCGACTTCAATTTTCCCATGGCTTCAAGTGTTAGCCCTTAGAAACTATGAGATCAATATTTTGGTTTATTTCAAATGTCTTAGCAAGGAAGGACATGAATCATGCAAGTCTACTAGTTTTAACCACCCTATTGGTTAAATGATTGGTAGGTTATGTAAATTAAAAGTAGTGTGGGAACACTCTTACTTGTAGGAGACACATTGTCATCTGGAAAAGGTTTTGTGCCCAGGGTAGATCCCGTCATTCTGGCTAGATATTCCTTTGTGGCAGTCACCAAATCTGAAAGTGTAAGGCAGATATTTATAATGGATAAGACATTGTAAGAAAAAGATGTTAATTCAGCTCTAAACATATTTTATTTATTCGTTATCTAGCAAATCAGTACTCAGGACTTGCTATGGACAAGGCAGCGAGATGTACTAGTGAGTGGGACAGGTGTGGAACTGTCTTTTAATTTTCTTTAAATACTTGAAAATTATTTATCCTCTCTCTCTCTCTCTCTCTCTCTCTCTCCCTTCTCTCTCTCTCTCTCTCTCTGTCTGTGTGTGTGTGTGTGTGTGTGTGTAAATAGAAGCCAAGATTGTTGTTTTACACTCATTTGTCTTCCTTCAACCAATATTATGTGCTTTGCAAATCGTTCTACTAAAGGAAATTGTTAAAAATTATTTTATGTATATGGGAGTTTTGCCTGCATTTAGGTCTGTGCACCAGGCAGCCACCCCCACCCCCACCCCAGGACCAGATGACGGTGTAGGATCTCCTAGAACTAGGGTCACAGATGGTTGTAGTTCACCATATGTCTGCTGGAAATCAAACCCAGATCCTCAGGAAGACCAGCATATCTTAACCACTGAGCCATCTCTCTTGCCCTTGAGGGTTTTTTTGTTGTTTGTTTGTTTGTTTTTGTTTTTTTTAATTACAAGTATAAGGAGGATTGCCTGACTTTAGAAAAATATAGTTAAATTTTGAGCCTGGAAGATTTTGTGTTTTCTAGATATATAATATTACTGTTTAAGAGAGTAATTAGATGGTCATTCTGTTCTTGCTCATCATCTACAATTACTCGGATGTCTTCAAATGACATCATAATTTTCACTTTGTCATGTTCCCTACTTTATGTCTTGGTATTGGCCATCACTTTTTTGTCTCTCATGAACCATGTATTCCATCCAAAAGGCAGGTGTTTCAGACCAAGGATAGTTCACCCAGGAAGGCTTCTTAGTCTTTGTGCTGTTTCCTGATATTTTCTCATTTTCAGGCTTCCTCATATGAACGTCTTTAATATTGGGGAGTCCTAGGGGACCTTCATGACATGCCTCTTTACCTTGATGTTAATGCTAGCAAGGGTCTTGCCACTTTTATTTATGGGTCATGCCACTCCAAAGAAAAACCAGTTTTGTTCTTCACCATCTTTATAGTATCAACAAATGGAAATGATGTAGTGTATACAAAATTGTTAGAAAGACCAACCTTAAATGTCTACCTGGCTGCTCTTAGATATTAAATGTCCTCTTCTAAAACAGTATGCTGTGAAGATGAAGTGTGGGGCTGTAAGGTAAATGCTTACATGGTTTTCCCCATGGAATGATTTTACAGAGATTGTAATCCAGTGCATGCTGTCAAATCCTACCCATTCCTATGCTTATTAAGTATTTTGGGATATAACCATATAAATCTCCTTACATGCTGTCCATAGCAGCCTTTGTGCTATAGTTCTGTGATGAATAATCATGACAAAGGCAATATTATCTATGAAACTTAAAATATTTACTCTCTCACCTTTTATAGATGAAGTGTCAATTCCTGGAATTGAAGGCATTGATTATGTTCTGCTCCAGATTTCTACAGTGTTAAGGCATTCCTTTTTTCATGGAAGGGCATTTTGTTTTAGCGCAGTATTCTGCTGTATTTCATAAACAGATATCTTTGGAAGATGGGGGTGGGTGTCAGCCTTACAGTACAGTTTGGAGATTTTACTACAAGATTTGTACATGGAGGAGAGCTCTTCACCCCATGTCCACATAGATTTAAGCACAAAAATCTGAGCTCATAAACCATCTATCTGGCTTCAGATTGGACTGAAAAGTAGAAACACTGCCTTGGTCAAAATAAAAATCAGGGCTGTTAAAAAGACATGTTAAAAAGACAGCATGACAGGGATAAGTGGTTTCCCAACACTCAGGTGTAGAACCCAGTAGAGTTGCCTTATACACATAGGTCACTTTGTTTGCTGCAGTGTTGAGAGGGATGGGCTTCTGGCCCTCAGCACCTTCATCCTTTCTGAAGTCTACTTTCTGAAGTCACTGTACTGTAGGCTAGGGAGCTTCTCGGAACCTCAGCAGCAGCCATGAGACTGGCCCACAAGAACAGCTGGGTCAGTCCTGAGGTTTCCTGTGAGCAAGTATCCATTCTGATCTGGTCCACCTAAGAAATGAGCCAAATTCCAGGGCATGTGAGAACCTTTATTCTCAGGGTAGAGCCCACAGAGCAGTGGGAAAAGTTTCTCTCACAGTCTTGTTTGAAATGTAGGACTCTGCTCCAGACTTACTGAATTAGGGTCCATATTTTCTCTGGGTGATTTGTGTGCATATTAACTTCTCTGTTTATGCTTTCAGGATCCATGGGAGCAGACACAAGTACGAATCTTGGCTTACTGCAGGAAGTCATGAGGCAAGGAGTCTAGAATCTTCAATTAAATGCTTAGTTCTCCTCTTCTCTTAGTTATAGGGATATCCTTTTGGCTTTCTCCATACCCCCAAACAATACACGAGCATAATTATGCATGTAAGAACACAATGATTTGTGCTTGGATGAGACCAGAAAGGGAGCCATAATTTTGGGAAACAGAATTTTGGAAACTCCAAGATTTATTAACTTTACTATCTGATTGTAAAGACTAAAAGTTCATTTGGTGATTAAAAGTTACCTACTTGCTCATAGTCTAAACTTAAACAAGAAGAGGGGCTTCCCTGTAAAATTTGAAACACAGTGTGTTTGGGGTATGAACATCAATATTCCTTTATACCTTAAAAGTTTTCATTATTTTCTGATCTTGAAACAAAGTATGGATTTAATATCAGAATACATTGGTTTTGGGAGCACATGGGATTAGTATTGTTTAAGAACTGAAGGCTTTAGAGTCTTTTAGCTCATGGCTTCAGAGTATGCCAAAGCTGAGCTTTGATAAATCTATATGAGACATGATCAACTCCATACTGTCCCAACACTGCAGCCCTCCCCATGTGTCACCTTCTGGGAAAGGGCTGTGCTTATTCTGCAGGGGGTTAGCTGGAGCTGAGTAAGGCTGTTTTCATATAAGTCCATCACAACTTCTGAATGAGTGACTCCGAATGAATTCACAGTGATTCTTTTTCATATTTAACTAGATGCACACAGGCAAAGTCATGGGGGATATTGCCTTTGACTCAGCATGGAATGGCACCTGCTTCAGAGTTGTGGGAAAGGCTTTGTGCTAAGACATATAAAGTCCTTCATCTAAAGACCCAGTAACCAAGCACTGTACCTGTAAGAACTCTGTCAGGGTGCAATGTAAACTGTCCTATATCAATTAGTATATTTTTATGGATATGTTATAGACAACCTTTATGAAGACAGGATAACAGTTAAAGAGGTCCTGCAGAGCTATAATGATGATTCACAAATCTTGTTTTGTCTGAATACTACTAAATATGCACATTTGATAGTCATCTTTATCACCATTTTAATATAGGCCTATCTGTTGTCATCACCTTTGCTGACCACACTTGTCATAGTTTATGTAGTAAAATCTCAATTATTCTTATGTGATTCAGGGTAGAAAATTTGGTTGTTCAAATTTTATAGTAACTGGAGTGGCTGAATTTATCAATTTTTGTAGTCATCAAAGTCTCTGTGTAGATACTGTGCTTTAAACCAGGTAGTGAAGTTATTATTGCATGCAAGGTTTACCCATTTCTAAATAGTGGAATTATACATGCTGGGACTGATTAAATCTTTTCAATTTTCTTTTATTCATTTGAGCATTTGTTTATTTATGCATGTGTGCCTGAGTGCATATGTCATAACACACACATGAGAATCGGAGAACAAATTTCTGGAGCCTGTCTTTTTCTTCCAGCATGTGGGGGTGTGAGGATGGGATTCAGTTGTCAGGCTTGCAGAAAGTGCGTTTACCTGCTGAGTCATTCACCACTCCTAAATATGTTTATGACTCAGGACTTTTAAGATAGTTTAAATTTCAGTTAATTATAGATGCTATTACTAAGTTGCTTTGGATGATAAATAAACCAGAATGCTAGTTGATTAAACATTATGATTAGGCTGGGTATGGTGACTAATGACACTAATTCTAGCACTTGGTAGGCTGAAGCAAGTAGATTGCCAGGAATTAGAGATCAGTTTTTACTAGATACTGAGTTCCAGGCTAGTGTAGACTACAACATAAAAAGCCTATCTGGGGAAAAAAACCAAACAAACAATCAAAGAAAATGAAAATGAAAAAGAGTTATGATCACAATAAAAAAATTACTCTTAGAAAATCTTTATAGAAAATTATCTTTGATTTTTATTTGGAGAAAGTGTTTTTAGATTCTACTTATGAATTGTTTAATATTTTGAAATTTAGAAATTTGGGGTGATAGAGAGCTTTCTGGTATTGTACTGGTGTGGGAATAATAAAAATCCTATCTTTTCTTGTTAGTCATGTTCTGAGTTGGTAGCACTCTTGGCTAAGCTTTCTTGACTTTGCTCAACAGGCAACTCACCTGAGGGTAGCATGATAGCTTGTGATGAAGTACTCCACATTTTGTTTCTGGGGCCTGGGGACAGAGCCTTACACTGAATTGTCATGCTGTTTGATTGAGCTGGTCTCTTACTATGTGTCCATGTTAAAACAGACTTCAGTTCCCGAAATCCACTTCTGTCATTTTTCTCATCATTCGTAATGTGTATTCCTGCAAGACAGATGAAAACATGATTAGGCCCTGACATTTTCTCTACCAGCCAGATGAGGATGCCAAGACACCGCCTAATAAAATTTAATTTTACTTTGTTTTGACGTGAGGGTCTCCTTTGTGGCCCAGACTGGCCTTTAACTTGTGGCTCTAATCATTGTCCCACCCCATCTGTGTAGAAAGCCTGCAAACTTGTACTGCACCACACAACTAATTTATGGTAATGTAGATTGGCAAGCAGCTAGCCTTTAGCTTCTGAGAAGCAAGGCCAGGTCCAGCAAAGCTGATATTAACCTGTGACAATTGTTCCAGTTCCCGGGTGGCATTGATCCATAATCGGGCTGTAATATGCATTCATTACATGTTTTGCTTCTGACTATGGGTCCAGGGGTTCAGTAGATTATTCTAGCTCATCAGCACCATTTAGTAATGGACAACTTGGTGATTTGTATTTGAATTGGCTTGAATTCTGGGGAGGATCTTCTGCAGACTCTGGTCATGTGCAAAAATATACCTCAAATATGTCAACAGAATATAAAACAACCCCCCATTCTGCTTTGAACTTTCCTAATTTGAGGAAGTGCATCTGGGCGTGGTCCTTGCCGAGTGAATGAAGGGGGTGTTGAGAGGACTGTACCTCCTCCTTACTCTAAGTCGAGTAGATGATGTGTATTCTAATTCTGATATCATATCATATCCTTTCCCTGAAATAAGCTGTCTATCAATACCCACTTTCAGTTCTGGTCCCATGAGCCTTCTCTAGAATCTTTTAACTGTCATTGATAGGGTGACTTCTAAATTGCATGCATTGTAGCAATAAATTACTAAAAAACCAATCTGTCCCCACAGGCCAGATCATTCTGAACTCTCACAGTCCTGACATTAAAATTCTTCTTCTTTTGAGACCCAGTCTGATGTATCTCTGTCTGGCCTCAAACTCATTATGTAGCCAAGTATGACCTTGAACTCTTGATCCCCTTTCTCGGCCTCCCAAGTACAAAGATTTCAGGTCTTTGCCAACATGCCTGGCTCCCATGAAAGGCTCTTCTTGCTAATCCGAAGTTATTTAGTGAAGTGTTAGCTAAGTGCAGTTGAATGCTGGTGGAATTCTAATTACACTGTCTGGTCTCTTGTGAGAGAACATAACAGGCATGTCTTATCTCGATGCTTTACTTAACAGTGTTTACTTAACAGGGAAATATACTTATCATAACCTTTAACATACACTTTCAGAATTGTGTTGTATTGTGGCTGGAGTGAGTTGCTTTTAAAGTGAACTCATTAACCAGTAAATGATCATCAAGGGATCTATAAAATCACCTACCAGCAGAAGCTGTTAATTTTAGAAATTAAAAGAGATAGTTGAGCGAGAGTTTTGTGACTCAGCTATTGTTCAATGTGTTGCAAGAAAGAGTCAGGGGAAGGTCTGCTGTCCTGGCACAGATGCCCGAGCTTATTCTGGTGGTGCTGCCATGGTTACCACCTATGAGATGTACTACTTTGTACTGAAATGGTCTCAGTGTGTATTCCTGCCCCAGGAACTTAATCCTTCCAGTAAACTTTTTCCTTGTAAAAGAACCCTATATATCCATCTCTACTGTCACACCCCCAAGTCCTGCCCCAAATATATTTACAAGACAAAGTAGAAATTATCAGTTGATTAAAATAACAAGGCAGAACAGATAGTAATGCTACAAGATCAGAGATCTTATTGCTTTTTTTTTTTTTTTTTTTTTTTTTTTTTTTTTTTTGGTTTTTTAAAAAAGGGTTTTTTTGTTGTACTTTGGGGCCTTCCCTGGCACTCGCTCTGGAGACCAGGCTGGCCTCAAACCCACAGAGATCCTCCTGCCTCTGCCTCCTGAGTGCTGGGACTAAAGGCATGCACCAAAAACGCCCGGCCAGAGATCTTATTGTTGAATACATGTTTATTTGAATGTTTTTTCTCTTCATATGGGATATTTGCTTTTACAAACAACAGTTAACTTCTATGTATTGTCTGAAGAAATCAAGTGTACCACTTTCATTCTGGGAAGTGCTGCCTTCTACCCCACTGGAGGATTCAGATGAAGTATCAGAAAGTGACACCTGGTGGGTCAGATGATGGTCTTCTTAGAGCAAGAATTACTTTTCAATGCCAAGATCAACCTGGGCATCAAGGCTTTCTAACACTGGGCATTGCCGAGCCCATCCCCATAGCTTTGTTTCCTCACCTTGTTCGTCACCTTGAAGAAACTTTCCATCTATTAACCAGGTAATATTTGCTCTGGGGAAGACATTCTTCAGTAGGCAGGTAAATGCTCTCTACAACAGACAGAAAGAGGATTATTTGCAAGTTGGAAAGACATTCTTGCTCTCTATGTTTCCATTCATATAAGACAACTTAGCCAGAGAAGATTTTGCCTACCTTTAATTGTGCACAGGCCACACAGGGGTTATTGTCTTTAGGGGCCTTGGCAAATTTGTGGCTAGAACCCCAGGACAGTTTAGGAGTGTAAGACTATACTAATGTTGCATGAGGTCCATGGGTTCTGAGAAATAGAGTTGTTACTAAGCTAGAAAACAAAGAGTAGAAGGAAGGAGCCACAGAGCCAGAGAAGAATGAGGTTAGAATTAAAGTGAAAGGGGATTGAGACTTCATACTTTATTTCCAAAACAGTGTGAAAGACCTTCTCTAGTGATGGTCATAGAAATGACTTTAAGTATATACATCAGTTTGGGATTGTACATTTCTCATAATCCTCTTTGTTTTTCATCTGGATTCTCTATAGTAGACAGTGTATGCTTCCTTTTGGTAGGTGACAAATAGAAGAAAATCAAGGTGTCTCATAGTTAAAGGAATTAGAAGCAATTAATGGGACTTCAGCCCAACAGATTTCTTGGTAAAACATTTCGGTTTGAAATAAGAACCACATGGGAGGATGGGTAGCATAGTGGTTTGAATGAGAATGGCCCCTACAGGCTCCTATATTTGAATGTTTGGTCTCCAGTTGGTGGACTGTTAAGGAAGGATTAAGGGGTGTGGCCTTGTGGGAGGAGGTGTGTTGATGGGGGTGGGCTCTGAGGTTTCAAAAGCCCACATCAGGCCTAGTCTTGCTCTCTGTGCTGCCTGAAGACAAGATTTAAGCTCTCAGCTACTGCTCCAGTGTCATGCCTGACTGCTCCCTACCATGATAGTCATGGACTCATGTTCTCAACTGTAAACAAGCCCCCAATTAAATTAGCTATTTCATGTTTCCTTGTCCATGGTGTCTCTTCACAGCAACACAACAGTAATGAAGACATGTAACTATGCTATAAAAGCCAGAAAAATAGATTCAGGATTAATTAGACCTATTTTCAATACCTTTCATTCTTTGGAAAATGTAGATTTTACTCCATATCATGGTGAACATATCCAATGGTATTTATTAGTTCTCACTATCTTATCTGATGTTCATAAAGTTAAAATTCAATTTCTAACTCTCTATTTTCTTATTACCTATGTGTGGATTTTGCATATGCCTGGTTCTTGTTCTTGGTACCTAAATGTTTCCCACAATTGTTGAATCTAACAGTAGTTAATTGGTAACGAACAGTGAACTGAATTTAATACTTGTATACCAATCTACAACTAATTACTTTCAAATAAGCCAAACTTATAAAGCTGTGACTCCAAAATTAAGTGTACTAGAAACATTTTTCTGGTAAAATCCTCCTTATGTGCAGTTTCCTGTCCCTTAGTGCATTGCAGTTAATGAGGGGAAAAAAAGACTTCCAAAGATTTCACTATTGTATCTAGGATAGCAGGTGGCAAATACTGTAGCTTTCAGTGTTTGTACTCTTTTAACATTTGTTTCATTTTCAGACAATATGGATACATGTATCTGACAGGATGTAGAAAATCATGAGGCTTCTCTTAACTTAAATTGTCCCTTCTACCTTTTGCCTCTCTGCTTTTACTCTATTCTATATATCTTTCTTTACTTCTTACTCTGTGGCTGGTTGTGTGGCTGTGTGGCTGGACCCTGGTGTTATCCTTCCCTTTTCCTTTTCTCACTCCTTCCTCTTTTTCTCATTCTTCTTCTATTTATTCTCTCTGTCTGGCAGCCCCTTCCTATTTCTTTCTCCTCTCTAGCTATTGGCCATTCAGCTCTTTATTAGACCAATCAGGTGTTTTAGACAGGCAAAGTAACACAACTTTACAGAGCTAAACAAATGCAGCATAAAAGAATGCAACACATCTTTGCATCATTAAACAAATATTCCACAGCATAAACAAATGTAACATAACTTAACTTAATATCCCACAACAGGAAAGGGTTTAAATCATCTTAAAGCTTTCAGTCCAGGTTGCAAAGCCAGGGCAGGCATCTTAAGGAAGGAGTTTAAGGCAGGAACTTGAAGGCAGGAACTACCTTCAGACTCTGTCTTCCAATATTTGGTTCAAGAATATGGGTCTTATTCTAAAATGCCTCTGCTCTCTAAGGCTGAAATGCCAGAAGGCATAATAGTTCAGGGTTAGGTCAATTGCTTCAGGAAAAATCAAGCACACATGCTACTGCTGAGGAAGTAGTATTGCCTTCATTTAGGACCTGGCTTACATGAGCAAGAAGAGAATGTTAAATCTGAAAGAAAACTGGAAACAATACAAATAGTAGTGTAAATGCACACAAAGATTATTTTTATGGGCAGGAAATGTATGGGCCTGGATTTTACTGGTGGTGTCTATTGGAAACCTGGGTAGCTGAGATAAGCTCTTTAGCCAAGAGGAACAAACATAAGTTGGAGATGTTGTCCTGGAATCTGGGAGATGCTGGTAGATGAGAGCAAGCTGAGATTGACAAGCCAGAAAAAGAATACAGCTCTCACTGTATCTATGTCTGTGTATGTACATACGGATGCATATGCAGTGCATAGGCTTGCTCATTTTTGTTTTTTTGTAGCTGGGCTTACAGTTCAAACTAACTAAGCCCCGCCTCCTCCATGCTGCATTAACCACCTCTTTGTGATTCATTACGAGACTACACCTCCACGGGGCTCTTATCAATCATTCAAGAAGTGTTTGTCTGCAATAGTACAAAACAGCACTGGGCTGAAATTTCCCCAAATTCTCTCCTCCCCTTCAAGACTGATGATTTAAGATGTTCAAGTTCTACAAGAGCATGATGGCCTCATGACTGTATGCAAAATTTGTAGATTGCTAGCAACCCCCAGGCTCTGCAATATGTGCTGGTTAGATGCCTGGGACTCATCAATTATTTAAAAAGATTTTCAACAATTAAGGGATTTAAAAAATGGTATGAAACACGCCAAGTTAAGATGGCCTTTCAGTATGCAGCCCATCACCATCTTTTTGACTTTGCTGGCTTACCAAATAAATCTTTTTCCTTGCTCCATTAATATTGTCTTTTGTGAGAAGCAAGTCGATTGGCTAAGTAACAATTCTCCACATAGAAGAAATACCGAATTATCCCTGGTTACCACACCTGCATTGGGACAGCAGCTTTCTCAATGGATTTTTTTGGGGGGGATAATTTTGAACACATCAAGGGTTTTATTCTATAAACAAAGAAAGGCACTAGTCACCAACCAGACTCTTTGTCTCACTATGTGCTTCTGCATCTAACTTTTCCTTTCTATGTCACTGTCCTCTCCAGTTACCATGGATCCCAGAAGGCAGTGCTGATTGATAAGCATCTTTTTGAGAAGGGATTGAGCATCAGTGAGCCTCGAAGGATGAGGATGATTCTAAAGATGATAGAATGGACCCTGTAAGCAGAGTCAACATCTCATGGGAACCTAATTATTCCTTTCATTTAACAACAGGGATGGGACATTTCCAGACCTCTTTGCAAGACCCAGAGCTGAGTAAGTCATCAACTGCACCACACTGTGACCCAAACTGCTGCATTGTTTGTGCGCTCACCTTCTGCCTCAGTTCTCTCTGTGATTAAACAGAGAGCCCACATCAGTACTCTAGAAATGCACTCAGGGTTCTTCCCATTGTGGCTCTGTTGGTTATATAATTTCTCTGTCACTAGCACCCCTCTTTAATTGGTGTACTGGGATAGGTACACCCAGTCTGTTGGGACTCCTAGGGTAGGTGCTTTTGTACCCTAAAACTCCAGTAAAAGAAAAGGAATTAAAAAAAAGTTTCCCAAGTTTTCAAAAAGTATTCTTCATCTCATTTGGCAACCTTTCTCTCTCTCACCACCTGGTTGGAAATGTAACTTTCAGCCTCTACATAATTTACACTATAACATTTCTCTCTTTAATGCTGTAAACTTTTTCTTCCTGTGGACATTGTCTTTAAAACTGTTCCTGTCTCCTCATGGTAGGTTTTGTTTCCCAAATTTGAATACAAATGTGAGTATATATTTTCCATAAGTGGTGATTATCTTTTGGAGAATACAAGCCAAGAGCATTTCAGCTTTCCCAACTCTAGTTATATAATGTAATAAAAGCACTCCAAAACCCATATCTTAATTTGCCATCATACTTTGAATTTTCAGTTTTCTTTCACTTAATATGCTCTTTTCTGTGAGTTCTTTGGCTTTTCTGCTGACAACATTCATAGCAGTCATAGATTTTACCTAAATATAAAGCTTAATAATCTGACAATTGGGAAGGCACTTGAAATCACAGGGATCTTTGCAATTGGAGGAGATTGTATTCCATCCTCCCCACTTTGTCTTACATTGTTCTTCATTTGAGAGGTTAGATACCCATGCAGAAAGAAGGTCAACTAAGGCACCTACAGGTACTCCACCTACTGTTTAGCTGCACAGGTGTCTTTTTCTGGTGGTGGAGGAGGTAGACAATAGATTTGCATTCGAGTTTGAGTATTCTAAAAAACCACAGCAGCACACAAGGACCTCATGAAAGAAGGAAGAACCTCAACCCAGCAGTGTCCTCCTCCTGGGATCATGTATGATTATTATCCCCCAGCTGCTCCGGGGTATGCTCAGGGAGCACCAGAGAGATCAGAAACCAGTAGAGAGCTTTCTGTGCCTCTAAATGCCTGCTGTGGCTGGATGGAGGGAGTGTTGAGGGCAGATGATTCCCAACCGACCTATCAGGGCTGCAAGCTGGATGAATACATTTCTCATTCATTTACAAAATGACCCGAGAAAGGACAGAGAAATCAGACTGTTGTTAGGATGTAAAACAATTTTCTGCTTATTTATCTGTCGTTGAAATGGAACAAATAAGTAAAACACCTGTTGTCAAGTGCCTGGGGGAAACTTTGGTTGACTGTGGGCTTTGTAAGCCATTGTGCCAGGAAGCTGCTGGCAGAAGACAGCCAGGCAGGCCCAGTCTGTGAGGACTTGCCTATTTCCTTCTCCTCCTGGCATGCTAAAATCCTCCTGCTTAAAACAGCCAAGTTTGCTCTTGAGATTCCTTAGAATCCCAACCTCAGGGGGACCTCCGAGGGTCAAACTTGTGCTGGGACCTTTCTTACATAGCTCTTGCGAGGTTTTTCAGCCTCTAGACAGCACACTCACAACTTCTCAGAAGCAAGTCTCCCTCCCACTATCCCTTGTTCCTTTCACCTGTGAGGCCCTACTGTGAGCCTTCTGAACAGCTTGGAATGGAGCTGTTCCTCCTACCTCTAAAATGCAGCCGGCTGTGGAGACAGGAAGCAGCTCGGAGGGGGAATCAGGGAAACGTTGCATGGTTCACTATGTAAGAGTGCTTGTAATGGGTGGTCTCGGAGCACTGGGGCCGCCCAACAGAGTTGTACCTGTTGGGTAGGGAATGTCTCTGTTTCTGGAAATCTGTTTTGGTGAGGGGAGACCAGTAAGTGTCTGGGGGATAGAACAAATGAGTGAGTTGGCTATTTTGCTAGGACCTGACTCACCCCAGTATTCCAGGAAAACTGAAAACTTCACATCAGCATGTGTGGTGAGCTTTAGAACATTGTCGTGAATCCCAGCCCCTTCCCAACCATCCATGAACCTATTGTTCAACTAAAGCATTTTGCATACATCCAGGCGCACTTTGAAGACAGTGTGTGTGGATGAGGAGGCATGATGCCGCTGGAAGAAGATGAAGAGAAGGTAAGAACCCCAATGTTACCAAAAGGAGTTTCAGAGATGAAGGAGGTGGCAAGTAAGGCCAATGGCCCAGAACAAGGGCACCTGATTTTCTAAGGCCTGGGGGTATTTCAACTTGGCCTCTGCTGGTGCTGGGCCCCATTACAAATAATATGCTACCTGTCACCAAATGTCAACGTGGGCACCGCCATCTCATGGAAGCATCTGGGAAGCATGGACAGAGAAGAGTTGGAGAAGAGTGGCCAAAACCTCACCAGGCAGCACCAAGACCATGCCCCTGGCTCCCTCTAGGCATCAAGGGTGACTGAGGCAGGTTCAGGGAGCAGATGGATGCCCTAGCTTTATGGCCACTCAGAGGGAAATGGGAGTGCTGAGGATGGAGAGAGCATTAGAATGTTGGGAGAGGGCTGTGGGAGGGAGGGAGCAAGCACATGAGGATGGAAGGGCCATCCTGGAGATGACGTAGGAGGTGAGAGCAGAAAAGGTGGTATGCCTGCATCCAGAAGAGGACCTTGCTGCAGCGGTGCATCTCTTCTGTTCTGCTTAAGCTCTGCCTGTGGGCGTGTGTTTGGCAAACACTGGCTTTCATCATGTTAGCTCTTGTTCAAATAGGAAGCAAAAGTAGTAATATGGGATGCCTTAAAGAAATGAGCGATCATGGGAGTCACAGGAATGGATGGAGCAAATGCTTATCGACAGGGTTCCCAGTTTTTGCTCACCCTGGGTTAGAAGTTCAAAATGTGCTAATGAGACGAAAGGATTACTTTGTTGAAAGCATCTCTGAGTTGTTTCAGGTTAGACTATATGGGTCACCGTCTCCTGCACTTGGTTTCAGGGGAGGGAGAGATTTGAAGAGAATGTGCCTACCTGACCAGCTCACCCTCAGAGAGTCAGAGACTGCAGCAGGATAGGGGTGTTTGCAAACATGTTGGGGGTGATCTGAGGTGATGCAAAGGTTATTCTGCATGATCCAATGATGGAAGGACTAAGAATCTTCTATCTGAGCTATATGGACCTTCGCATGACTCTTTCTCTTCTGGCTGGAAGGCTTTGTTTTATTATTACATCAAAGCTGTTTCATCTATGTAACCTTTCTACATCTTGTGAGATTTTTGACAATATAACCAAAATGAGTTAACGTATAATTAGGATGGAGAAAATACTTCTCAGCTCACTGGGTTTAAAAATTAAGAATAAGAAAATGTGGGTTGGCAATATGGGTCAGATGTTAAAAACACCCGCTGGAGAAACCGGATGATCTGAGTGCCATGCCTAGAACTCACCGTGCAAGGGGCAAGCCAATCCCTGAAAGCTGTCCTCTGATCTCCACATGTGCACCATGGCACATGTGTGCCTGACCCGACCCATGTATCACACATACACTTCACACACAGTAATTAAAATAAAGACATCAATGAATAAAAATACTATAATTGGCTCACAGATATTTAAAACTTTAATATGACTCCACATTAAGGTATAAGGGAAAAGTGGGTAAATGTGAGTCAGGTGAAGAAACTCAGACAAAGAAGGGAGGCAGTATAAGGAGAAATGTAGAAGGGAGAGAGAAAATTACACAGACCAAGTGCCAGGGAGAAGTGTACAGAAAAGCGGTGCTGTAAGAAAGTTCCATGATGGATAAAGAAAAGAGACCATGCTTGCCAGGGTGACCAAAGGAAAGAGGACATTTCTGTAGATCCCAAAGGCACAATTTTTAATGGCTTGACTTTGTTTCATACCCAGAGACAAGACACTCATTTGTGAGGTAGGTTTTAGATTTTCGTTGCACCTCTAAAATATGAGCTGCATAGCCATCCATTGTTCTCTGATATTTTATTAAAAGTCTCATCTTTAAATAATCAGAGAAGCTTTGAAAAATTAGAAAAAGACTCTAATAGCCCACATGGAGCAAACATGTCTGGCTTGCTGAGACTTTGTCTAAAATATTAACTCAGGGAAAGAATAAAATCGAGCTGGATGCAACCATGGCCTCTGTGCGGGGTCTGCCCGTTGTTGAGATGGATCCAGCAGCACCTTCTCCTCCTTTCCCCCTTTTAATGAGTTGGTTAATCCTCCTTGTCAACTCGGAAGGATTCTGAATCTCATAGGAGGCATACCTTGGCTGAATCTGTGAGGGTATTTCCAAAGAGATTCAATTGAAGAGGGAGACTTCCTGAATGTGGATGACACCATCTGCACTAAGGTTCAGACTGAGTGAAAAGAGAAAAAGGAGCTGGGCTCACATCTGTAATCCCTGCACTCTGGAGGTAGAGGCAGGAGGATGGAGAGTGGATTTGAGGGTAGTTTGGCTTATTTGAAACCCAAGAGAGACAGGGAGAGTGGCAAACTGAACCCCAACATTCATCTTTCTCACTGAGGACACAGTGTGGCAAACCACATGACACTCCTGCAGTCATGGTTTTCTGTGACAATGACTGCACCCCACTCTTAAATGGGGATATAGTCTTCTTTTAAGCTGCTTCTGTCAGATATTTTGTTAGTCACCAGAAAGTAGCTAATACCAACAGAGTAGTACACGGTCAAGAGGAGGAGAAGACAGTGGCTCCTAGTCTTAATGATGAGCTTGTGTTCTAGCATCCACCTTCCTGAAAGCAATGGAGACCTTGGCTTAAAAGGTCTCTCATAGCTCATTCTTACTGACTTGGTGGGCAGTAAAGATAGTGAGGCCTGCTTTTTCAGTGAGCCATCCATGGAACAAACAGAAGTCTAAACACCAGGCTTATAGAAACTTGGGCTACAATGCAGCCCTATGATACTCCTTTGTTGTCTCTTAAAATATTGAAGCTTTCCTTCCCATATGGTTTTCCCACAAGGTTAAGCCCCACTTCCAGGGCTGTGTCTGTCTGTTGGGGCTGATACCTAAGGTATTCATCAGAGCAGATGATGATGGCTATAGGAAGTCACTTGCCCACACACTTGGAGCCAGAGCCATTTTTGTCACAAAAGAGGTTGTCACACCTGGTATCTCAAAAACAAAACAAATGAATAAATCACATGTATGAGACTTAACAAAGTTGAGGAACGCATAAAGGTTTGAGCTTTGCAAAACTCAAACTAAATAAACACAAGCAATTGAAATCTGTAAAACACCACCAGAGTTCTGCTGAAGTCAGACCTTAACGGCCACATTCATTTTATATTTTGTGTTATGGTATGTTTCCCATGGATCTTATTAATGTAGATTTTCTTTCTCTCTGGACAACATAACCTTAAACCTTGTTTGTTTCCTGTGTTTTGTGTTTGGTCATTTGCTTTAGACAGTATTTTTCTATATTCTATTAAAATAATAAAAGAACAGAACGACAAGGAGAGGGCCCAGGAAGGCCACCAGGTTAAAGCAAAAAGCACCAACATAAGGAGAGTTTTTAATCCAGTCTTGGAGCAGAGACTTTGGGAGGTGTTATGTGACAGCAGGGATAATACAGTTATTAGCCTGAAGTTTCAGAGATTAGCACACTGAGGTTCATGGTTGCTAACTACTAGATGTGGGTATTTAACTAGTAATAGTTGGATTGTACTTTCATATGCGTGCTATCTGACCAAGGAGACCTTTCTTCTCATTGCCCCATCTTCCTGGGTATATGCTTACATGCACTCCAGACAGTTATTCAGCCAAATGTTTAAGACTTCCTGGCTTTAATTTCTCATCTATAAAATAACAGACGCTCTATTTGGGAGGCTGGTTGAAAGCAAAATAAAACAAAAGTAGGTTAAGATGCTTAGAAGAGCAATTCTAAGAATATTAGAGTGAAGGACTGATAATGTTTTCAAGATTTTCAAGCATCTCCAGAACAGCCATGATTACATGGAGGTGGGGATAGATGAATATTCACTGTCTTCTCAGGGAAAAATGCATGTTCCTTTGTTTCCCTAGTCAGCATCGAGGCATGCACGGGTGCTGAAGAGGAAATTTTATGACTAATGGAATTCAAAGCCAACTACTCCTTTCTTTTTATTTTCAACTGGGATTCTTGGATCTGATGCTATTGTTTTATATCTGCACTGAGGTCATCTTAGTCAGAAAGACTGGCATCAAGAATCTGCAATAGGTCCTAAGAAGAACATGATAGGTCTACTGAAAATTGTATTGTTGGATTATTTGTTTTGTCTAAACCACTGAAATGAATGAAGTGCACTGATAAACTTGGGGCTTAGTTGGAACAGAAGATAAATGACTATGTCTTTATTGTATTAATAATTATAATACCAATTAATAGACACATATACTTGGATAATAGATGTCTAGGGTCATCCAGAATCACGCCACAGAATTTGAGTCATAATTTATGTGCAGCTATGGAGTTAAATGACTAATATCCAGCAGGATCAAAATTCATAATATCCATGGGGTGAGAAGCAGATAAATATAATTTGTCCATACCATATAACAGCAAATGCATGAGAATATTTATTTTATGTGGAGTTTTAAAAAGCTTAGGTGAAGTCACAGGCCACAAGAGAGTGAATTAAAACTGATAATAGTGTTTCAGGGTGTGGCCACACACACCTCTAATCCCATTATGGGGCAGAGACAGTTGAAGGCCAGCTTGGTTTATAAAGTGAGTTCCAGAATAGCAAGGTCTACACAGAGAAATATGTATAGAAAAATGAAACAAAGCTAAACAAAAAACAGGAATAGCAAGAATAGCACCCGCAATATTTATTGACTCTTTGAACCACAGCACATAGTCTTTTGAGAAGTACTCATTCATTGATTTCAGTATTAAAACCACAACAAGCAGATATTATTATTGGGTATGACATAAATGGAGAACTGGCTATAGAGATATAAAGTAATTTGTCCTAGGCCACAGCCAGTCGGGAAGTGTGTCTAGATCATTGGACTGGAGGCTGAGAACTATTCTGAAGGTGATGAACTCAGAGCATCCTGTTCTACTCTTCCTTTTCTCCTGACCTTCCTCTTGTTGCTAGGGAAACATCTGGGTTTGGGTAGAGGGCAGGAGGGTACCATGTCTTTCCTCTAAGCAATGGGAAACAAATTAAACATCAGCTGAGCAGAAATCTTTCTTCTACCAGGATTCACACTGCTTTTTGTCCCACTTTCCCTAAGTTTTTTATCATAGAGACATCTAAACAATTGAAATATCCCCCACACCCCAGGAAAGCAAGGCCTAAGGATGCAGCTCACACCTTCTGAGAGCAGTAAGTCAAAGCAAGGCTTTCTATTCCATTTCCAGAATCACCCCAGCTTGCCTTCCTTCACAGCAGCAGTTAACTGACTAAGGTCCAAGGAATAAGGCCTTTTGAGGGAATGTTCCTGGCAACTATGCAACCTGACACAGCTCGGCCTGTAACATTATAGATGTTTAAAGCATTTGGGGTGACTCACCTCTCTTAAGACATCCACGGTGCTGTTTTCCACAATCAGGAGGATTTCTGGCTTAGCTTAAAGGTAAATAAAACACAGTTAGTGGTATTGGATTCTATACTACTTGTTGTGTGTGTGGTGTTTACATTTAGTTGTGTGTTTGTGGTTTAGGAGATTCATTACTCATTTGTAACTATTTAATAAGCACTTCTGGATTGCTCAGCAGTGTGCTAGATGCACAAGGAACAAAGAGAGCATCACATGCATTGTCTTCAGACAACTTGCATTTTCACAGTCGATACAGACAAATGAGAAGTTACAATGCACTAATACCAATATTGAGAGCATGTAGGATTCGAAGAAGAAGAGATTCTCTGTTCCAAGAGGTTTAGGGGACTGCTTAGCATTGACCTCTGTTCACTGAAGGCTGCTGTTCAGTAAACTCATGACTCCTGCTTCAGGATTCACTGAGACTATGAGGGAAGCTGGAAAGAGATAATAATAGATGGGAAGTCAGTGGGTAAATATCTGGGCTCTCTTGCTCTTCATTTGACAAGATCCAGTGCGTTCAGGGTGGCATGGCTGTAGACTTGCTCTTCATTTGAGACATCAGATGTGTATGCTTTTTATCTTAATAGGATTAATTTAATACTTATTTTGTGTGTGTGTGTGTGTGTGTGTGTGTGTGTGTGTGTGTGTGTGTGTGCTTGTTATATGTGAGTGCTGCCTCCTGAGTGCTATAATATGCCTATAAAACATCAGCAGACAATTTTTGGGAATTTGAACCTCTGTTTCCACCTTGCATTCTGGAGTTCAAACTCAGGCCACTGAGTTTGTGTGTAAGCGCCTTTAACCACTGAACCATCTCACCATCCCTCATGTGTATTTTATGCCATAGATAGAGTTCCCAGTAAGATAGATCTCTAAGCTTGAAGAAGTAACTGGTTTGAACATTCACTGTCTTCCTTCCCCTCCTAGTCTCACTTTCCTACCCCTGTTCTGTTTCCAGGATGACCTCTCAGACCAATCATTATTGTTAGTGTTTTTACTGTCCAAATATAAATTATTTGGGGGATACCTTTTAAATTTTACTTTTTGGTTGTGGAAAAAATTTTTCATCCAATATATTCTGACTATGTTTTCCTCCTTCAACTTCTCCCAGATACCACCCATCTAACTCCACAGGTTTTTCTTCCTCTCTCTTTAGAAAACAATCAGATGGACAAAGCAAATAACCAGAATTAAAAAATACATATAAGACTACAAAAAGCACAAAATCAGAAACTAATATACAAGCAAAAGATCAGTAAGAACAAGAAAAAAAGCCCAAATAAAACAATATGAGACAAAAGGTCTAGCATCTCCTGCTGGCCCTGACATTAAGTGTGGTTAATATAACCAGTGAGACTGCATTGGAGAACACTCATTTTTCCTTTGCAGTTATCTGTAAGTGGCAGATAGCTTCTTGACTAGGTCCACTCCCACCTCTCAGCACAGAGATAAATAATTTATTTATCTCAAATAAATTAATTTAACTCACAGTCTTGTTTCAATGTCCTCCACTCCCACCTCCTGGGGACTCCAAACCAAGACATAGCCCAGAAGTTGACAGATGAAACAATATTTCTGAACTCTTATAAGAAATGAATCCAAGTAGAATGAAGGCCCTGGAAGAGCTTAAAAATCACAGGGCTAATCGAGAGAGATAATCTGTGAGCTTGAAATAGTCAAATCTTCAGGTTCTGAGTATGGGAGAACAAGCAAAGCCTCAATAGCAAGTTGGTGGTGGATGCAAAGGCTGCCTCTGCTCCCTGCTCTGCAGAGAGTAAAAATACCAGCCTGTGATGGCTTGGGAAGAAGAATTAAGTTGTAAAGGGCATGATACATGGATTGGTGACACATTCAATACTTAACATTTTTCATATTTTGTTTGGGCTTATTTAATGTAGGGAAACACTAGTGGATAAAAAGCAGATTTTATATACATCTTTTTCTTTCTTCATTTATTTATTTGACATGCTGCAGCATGGGCTCACACTTGTAACCCTCCCGAATCACTTGCCCAAACTTACAGCCTAAATAAATATGCCTATCAAAGGTATAGCAAAACCTTAGGAGAACCTACTTTGAAGCCAGGAGCACGTCTATAAACAGTATATTTACTAAAGAATTCCACTAAGCAATGGAAACTTGATTGAAAAATAAACAGGCAGAGTTCCACATTTCTAAGCTCCATAAAGAAGGAGTTTAAAGAAGCAAGGAAATTGTCCAGACAGGGAGATGTAGAAGCAGAGAAGGTGCTAAATGTGGGATGTAAGAGTATACATGCCTTCCAGACCAACATGAAGAAGTCTGAGGGCGGCAAAGGCATGCAGCCATGGTTTGCATGTTGACGAGGCAATTAGATCACGCCGTGGCACAAAGATTCCACCCAACTTAAAGTGCATTATTTCTTCCCACATTCTGGAAGTCTGCCTTCTTTGGCTTGCCAAAAGCAAGGCCAAATGAGTCAGTTTGTGCTTGTGCTAAGAGAATCAGACTCTGGAAGTGAACAAACGGAGCTGTTGGCACAATAAAGGCAACTTCGGTTTGTTCTGACATCTTCATGGGACCCTGTCTAGGCTTCCTAGAGAACTGGTGGCAATGGACCATTATGGTCTAGTCCATCCTCCCAGGAGACACTGGAGAGGAGGGAGGCAGAGAAGAAATGTAGGGAGAGAGGGAAGAAAAGGGGATAGGGGAAGACAATGAGGCACAGAAAGAAAGCTATACTCACAAAACTCTGCATTAATTAAATCTTACTCAGCCTTTTCTGTCTTTATACATTACTTTTTTTTTTTATAAAATACATACAGTGTTTTTATTCCCACTGACCACATTTTCTGACCTCTAATCCAACACAGCATGTTTCTAAATAAAAACAACAGCAACACCCTTTTTGTATTTTGTTTTGTCTGCTCTGTCATTCAGAAAGCTGAGGAGCAGTCTAGAAGTTCAGGCCCTTAGATTTTATGAAGTGTATTTCCTCTTTGTTTACCTCATTTTCAAACACAATTGATTGGCTCTCCGAGTGGCTGCTTTTCCCTTTGCCCTGATGTAGAATGACTTTAAAAACTGCAGGTCATGGTCAGGAAAATGAAAAACTAGCCAAAGCCAGGAGCTTCTCTTTAGTAATATTTCCTTGCACCAGGAAACCCAACAGAATGCTCACATTTTTCTCTGCAATTGCACCCTGCAGGGTCTCTGCATTGTGAATGAGGTGGTGGTGGATTTCACAGCTCAGTGTTATGAGAATCAGGTCAGAGAGTCAACCCTGTAGGCTCCACTGCTGGAAGCCCCAGTGGACTCTCAACCCCAGTAGGCCATTGCAGGATGCCATAGGGTTTCCTTCAGTTTCTCTGGCTGTATTTATCAGCTCCCTTTTCTCACGGTAACCTTATTGCACTTTGCACCAGAAAATAACTCAGATAATTAGACAGCTGAGCAATTAGACTTTGGCAGTTATAATTAAAGAGAGTTCCAGTACCCCTAGGAAACATTCCGCCTGCAAACAAGGTAGAGGCCACCAGGAAGCTGACCTATATGTGGCTTTCTGGTGTTTTTAGTCTATTAACTGAATAATTATTCTTTAGCCTTTCACCTTTGATCCCACCCCCAATGAGAATGATAGGAATCAAGGAAAACATAATTGCAGGAGTTACCCTTGTGTGGCTGTTGTCCAGTGTAAAGGTGAGTGTGTGGGGGGTCTTCATAAGGGAAGAGCATGACCAGAGGATTGGCAGAGGTGGCAGAGAGGTCACTGAACTCCTTACCGAAAACCTTGACTATAGTGGAGGTCTTCCAGACTTCAAGAGGATTGACTGTCAGGCGGCAAGTGAATGTTTTGCCATCATCTTGGATTTGGACTGGAGACAGGTGGAGTCCAGAGTCTGCACCCAGTTTGACTCTGCCTTTAAATGATGCAGAATAGTTGATGTGGTCATTGTGGGTGAAAAGAACTTCCTGGACTCCATCTTTCTTCTGTAGAGAGAAACAGTATTCAGTTATATAACATGGAATGTGTGAATGTACCTCAACTGACTGTTTCTTTTTTCTTTTCTTTTTGGTTTTTCGAGACAGGGTTTCTCTGTGGCTTTGGAGGCTGTCCTGAAACTAGCTCTTGTAGACCAGGCTGGTCTCGAACTCACAGAGATCTGCCTGCCTCTGCCTCCCGAGTGCTGGGATTAAAGGCATGAGCCACCAACGCCCCGCCCAACTGACTGTTTCTTAGACACTATTTACTTGCTTTAAACTATGTGCCTTTGTGCCTATGTGTAGATGCAAATGAGTGCAGATGCTTGGGGAAGCCAGAAGAGGGCATTGAATCCACTGGAACTACAGCTGGTGTGAAGTGCCCAACATGGTATTTGGAACTGGACTCAGTTCCTCTTGAAGAGCAACAAGGACTTTAACCACCCAGCCAACTCGTGAGCCTGACAAGTGCTATTTAAATGTTAATAAAACAAGAATGATGAAGAATTAAAATGGAGAGAGATTGAATATAGTAGTAGAGAAAGTATTGTTATTCATTCTCACAATTTAATAAAAAAAATCTCTCATTTTATACTAGTACAAATAGAAACATGTTCTGAACAGACCTAGCCACTCACAGCCTTGCTTTTAGGTCAGGAGAGAGTGCTAATAGCAGATCCCAAGACTCATTCAGGAAGTTCAGAGATATCATTCTTAAGATGTGCTGGGGACACTGTTGGGGTTTTGATGGGTAGTTTTTTTTACATAGACTTCTTAATTCCACTTATCCTCTTGTCCCTGAATTCCCTAAGAAAAGGTCTGATTTAACCCCTTTCAGAGTCAGAGCAAAGAACTTAGAGAAGATATATTTCAGAGTACAGCACACGAAGGGAAGGCATCTCCAAGGACATGGCCTGATCAAATTTTGTCCCCTTAGCCCTCCTTGTTACAGTTCTTCATTGCTCTTGTGATCTTGGCCCTTGTTTCCTTGTTTCTGTGGCTGTATTAGGCTCAGAGAGAACTCTGGAAAAGTGGACTTTAAATGTTAATGTAACTTTTGTTCACTGGCATTTTCTGGGAGACCTTGACTCCTCTATTTCATGTCCTGTCTTGGGTGATGAAGAAAAGTCCCTATTATTCTTCCCCTAGCCAGGATCTCCAAGGCAAGCCTTGTGGTCACAATGATTGTCAGATCAGTATGATGTTGATTAGCCTCCTGGGGTGACAGGACCCTTGAGGAGCATGAGGCAGTGTGCTGGTTAAATCCCCTCTCTGTGTTAGTCCAACTCAATCTTCTCAATTAGCTGCTTGGCAACTGTCCATGGCTCAAGTTTTCCCTCTAGGGATTCACATTCAATCTGTCTGAGGCCGGGCCTAACCTGGAACAATTTTCAAGTTCCTCAGGGGAGCCAAGGCTGAGAATGGCTGGTCTAATCATAACCTTTACAGATAAATAGTTATACACAGGGGAAATGGAGGAACTAAAGGAGAAGGCTGAAGAGGAATGCATTTGATAGGGGGAAAGATTTAAAAGAATGAAAGGAACTATCCATGACTTGGAACCTCTAGTTTAAAAAGTTAGATTCGGGGTAAAAGTAGAATCTAGGTCGGTGAGTGAATTTGTCACAAGAAGACTTATTAGAGTAATTACACAGAAATTTTCCAGATAACACTAAATAGCAGTTCTTATATAAACCACAGTTCTTTGGCTGAATCTGGCTGAGATCTTTAACAGTGTCACATGCAGATGGAACTCTAGGGTTTCTTGCAAAGAATCATAAGCCTTACACCCTCCCCCCTCCCCGCCCCTAAACAAGGTATGTACATCTACAGCTTTGTGAACCTGACCTTTAACCTTCCTTCTGAAGAAGAGCAAAGGGAAGATCTAGTCCCAAGACGGGGGAGTCTGAGCACCATCAGAATGAAGTGAAAGGCATTTCCCTCAGCATCACAGATCTGAAGGCAATAGTTAAGGAAGCTGGCTCCCCCTGCAGGGCCTACAGCACAAGATACTTTTTACAGCATCCTGTATAGAGGCTGGTTTTATAAAGATTTTGTAGTTCAAAATATTCTTGGAGAGTATTTAATGGGTGTAGCTTTCTAACATTAGGAGGAGACACACTCTCCCAGCAAACTCTCTGAGCGTCTGGCTTTTATAGTCTTACAGCCCTTTCTTCGGCAATGTTCCCTGAGGTTTAAGTGTAGATGTATGTATGTATGTATGTATGTATGTATGTATGTATGTATGTATGTATGTATGTATGTATTCATTGGAACTGGGCTCCACAACTCTGCATTTTGATTGGTTGTTGTTTTATACAATGGTTTCTGTTTCGAAGAGAAGCTCCTCCATGAGGGATGAGGACTATACTTAACTCTAGGTATAAAGACAAATGATTGCCCACATGAGCTGAACAAGGACAACACTAATAGGCATAACAAAGTGGACAGGGGCAAGAGCTTGGCACCACAACCCTACTCAAAGAACTATGGGAAACCATGGAATCCTAAGAGTGAGAAAATGGTCTTCTCCAGGGAAGAGCATGACAATTGTCTATCTAATACCCAATGGTAATCCCTGAAAACATACATATATCCATGTAATGACAACTGATAAAAAAAGGAGACCATGAAGTTGAAAACGATCAGAGAGGAATATGTGAGAGGGTTTGGATGGAGGAAAAGGAAAAGTTCCATACTTATGATCTCAAAAATAAAAGAAAAAATGTTCTTGGCTTGTCAACAGTTGATTATGAATTAGAAAGAAGCTCACAGGGCCCTATTCCTCCCTGCTGAACTACTGACTCCTGATGGATCCTGATGGAAGGGTAGTAATGTTTCTAATGGTGTACCCACTGATAAGCCAACCATACTGCGCTGGAGAGTTCTAAACCCATAGGCACTCAGATGGCGCTGGTTAAATGTAGTGCATCACAAACTTAAACCAAAAGGAGGTGAATGTGGGAAAGGAACTTGTGGAATGAGAGGAGTGACGGGGTGGCAGGGAGATAGGGAGATACGGAGATAGAAGGGTCAGTTGGGTGAGGGTTATTATAATACATCACATATGTGCATGAAATTGTCAAAGAACAAATTTAGTAAGTTATTTTAAAGTGTTCTTGCTTGTTCACCATGTGGTTTTCTATTTGGGATAGTCCCATCTGTCATGTTGTTAAAGAGGATAGACACAGGATGGAGACTGGTAAAAACTGCTTTTGCTTTTAATATACACCAGGACATGGCTACCGTAATAGTTTTATTAATAAGGACAACACACATCCATATATAGCAATGTATACAATGGTTGCTTGGCTTTGTTTGCTTTCCTTTGGCTTTTGGCAGTTGCAGATGTGGATGGTAGCTTTGTTTTATAAAGATGGAATTCATCTACAAAGTGTCCTGAAGACTGTAACACAAGGAGATCCTGAAGGATTCTAGAATCCCATGGTAATAACCTGCACTCGAGTGTCTGCCATCAAGGAGCAAATGGGGAAGGAGCTAGTTCAGATAAGCTACCCAATACTTACAGATAAGAGAAGGGGAAATTCTATAATTATGCTCTGACTACAACTGAAATGCTAAGTTTTCATTAATAAAGATTTTTCTTTTAAACTATTATTTCCTTTTTTGAGATTATAACAATTATGCCACTTTCTCCTTGCCTTTCTTCCCTCCAAAGTTTCCCATATACTCCTCATTTTTGCTTTTCAAGTTCATGACTTCTATTTTATTGTTGTCACACACATATACATACATATGTATGTTCCTAAATGCATATATAGAATCTGTTCAGTTTACATAATGTTGCGTGTATGTATATTTTCAAGCTGACCATTTGGTAATAGATAACCAGTTGTCTAATAGATAACCATTTGGTAATAGATAACAGATTGTCTTTAACCTGTTTAGTGCACAGTATGTTCTAGGCACTGAAAAGCTTGTTCCAGCTTTGTTTACTCTCCTTACACAGTCTGGAATAAATTAAAGTTAATTTACCCATGGCTGCACAAAGTAAGAAGGTACTTAAATCAAAGCATTTTAAAGCAAAGATGCTCAGAACCAAGGAAAATTGTGCCTCAGGACTACACATATAGAACAAATCTGAATCACTAAATAACCAAAAAATATAAAATAAAAGTAAAAAAAAAATGAAACCTAGAGGTGTATCTGGAATGAAAAATGTAGGATACATCGCCGAAAACCAGAAATCTTTGTAAGGTTATAGGCTGTAGGGGTCAGGGCAGGATGCTGGTTGAAAAAGGCTTTATGCTATACCACCCCATTTGTGATGACCAGCATTATGGGATATATTTCAACTCAATTTGTGTTTGGTATAAATGACCTCAGTTGATCTGCTCTGTAGGAAGCCTGGCAGGGAACCACACACACACAGCGCCTTTATTTCTACTTTTTCCCTTTCTGTTTTGCAGAGAAAACGATTATTTACCTTGTAAAATGTTAATAAATATTCAAAAAACTTTATGGGTTTACATCTTATGTAAAATGAGCTCTAATTTTTAAAAATTAACTAATTAATTAATTAATTAATTAATTTGACATCCTGACTGAAGCCTCCTCTCCCTCCTCTCTTCCCAATCCCTTCCCCCACCTGTGTCTCCTGCTCCCCCCTCGATCCACCCGTCCTCCACATTCACTCAGAAAGGGGCAGGCCTCCCATGGGAATCATCAAAGCATGGCATATCAAGCTGCTGTAAGACCAAGCACCTTTTCCTGTATTTAGGCTGGAGAAGGCAATCCAGTATGAAGAATTGATTCCCAAGAGCCAGCCAAAGCACCAGGGACAGCCCAACTCCCGTGGCCAAGAGTCCCTCAAATAAATCAAGCTACACAACTGTTACATATATGCAGAGACCCCAGGTTGGTTCAGACTCTGTGAGTTCTCATGAGTCAGGCTAGCTGAGCTCAGCACAATGTTTGGCTGTGAATTTCTGAATCTGCCTCCATCAGCCACTGGTTGAAGGCTCTTCTATGACAACAGGCATTGTCAC